CTGGCTCATTACTCATCTTTAACTGTTAGTGATTTCTGTTTTTATATTGAATCCAGATCATAATACTGTATCAGTGACTTCGCTAATTAATTGTAACATCAATGGAATAATCTATAATGATCAAACTAATATTGGAAGTATGGAGTAACTTACAATGAAATTCCTAATAGATGTTACAATATTTCAAGATTGGATCAACAAAAGAAACCTCATGTGCTTGTAGAAAAAAGTTTTCCTCCAAATTCATTATTGACAATTATATTTTCTTGATATTCATAATAAGGAAATCTATTATCACCAAAATTTTTTAATTGCTTGGATTCAAAAATCCACTGAATTCACAAATACGGTTTAGAATTGCTGAGTATGTATATCTATGTCGATGTTGTGCTGTTTGTGTGAGTTTTTGTATATTTTGGGTATATTGACGGAATCAATTCTCTTGATGTTTTCTCATGATATTGAGTCTTTCGAATCTCTGATACAATATGAATGTTTTCTCATGATATTGAGTCTTTGAATCTCTGATACCATCTGAACGTTTATCTGAAGAAAATCTGAGGTTCAACTTATTCTTTCTGCATCACCTATGAGATTTATTATTAAGCTTTATTTTTGATTTGAAGCATTATGCTGGGCATTAATGTTCATCGATTTACTATTGGGTTTGCATGTTGAGTGTTGAGTTTACTATTCGAGAGATAGTTTTTGCAAACTATTTTTTCATGAATTTTCTTGAATGTGTTGATGTTTTCTCTATCACTTAGAGATATTGGCAGAGTAGAAATTAATACATAGATAGTGTTGAAATGAAATTTTTGAATTAAAATGTTGATTGCATATGTATAGGAGAGTATAATTTGCGATCATTAACGATGTCAAAAATATCAAAAAAAATTTTTTATGTTAAGATTTCATGTTGGGAACTGAAATTACAACATTTTATCCGAACAACGAATCTGAACAATGATATGCAGACGATACTAAATACAGTAGCATATATTTCTAAGAACTGGTTTTGATCAAGGATTGCAATATTTTCAAATCTACCAACTTTACTGTAGCCATAAAAGCATTTAAACAGATTAATTTGTTGCAATATCAAATATATTATTACCAAAAACATTAGTTTTTTACCAAAATGTCAAATAAATTTAAAAACATCGCAACTTTTTATATTGGTCCAAACTTTCAGCCAATTCATGTTACATGAAATATTCATCATCATACCAAGCTGTTTTGCTAAATATGTGAACACATTCCTTCAAATACCGTCGAAAATAACTCCAAGAACTCTTCTCGCGATGGTAAAACACGATCATTCATACTACGAAAACTCTAAACTTGCAGCTTTAAGAGCACATCAAGGAGCGATTCCTGATGAAGTAAAATTTCAAGAATGTATAATTTTTTGTAATCATCGTATTGTTGGCAGATTTACACGCAAAAATGCAGCTCCTCTAAACTGTTTCGATCTTTTCATACTGTCATTATTCGAAAGCATTGAATTTAGTGAAGAATCAAGTGAAGATCGATCTTTTTTGAATCCTAACTACGTAACGAGTGTTAATCCGTCGAATATACAATACAAAGGAGGCTATTTACTAGTTTCTGGAACTGTTCAACGTTGCTCCATCGCTGTTTCTAGATTAGGAAATAATTCTGCCTACACTAATGTTATTTATTTTCGCAAGACACTGTAATCGCAACAGCAAAGAGACTTGATAAGGGAATATCATGGGAATCATTGCAGAATATCGGTTATGGGGATTTTTAAAACCTCCAACGAATATTTGTACATTCCAAAATCCTGTAACCATATTTTACTCAAATAATTATCAAATAGAATCTACAGGAGAATCGTTTGAATTCGCTCCTGCGGATGTCAGAAAAAGCAAGAAAAGTTATAATCTTATTAGCGGAATTAATCAACAAAAGCTCTGAAGCCATGCCAAGAGGTTATCAGACAATGCTTTGGAATGACGGAAGATTCACTTTTCTTTACGAAAATGCGGTTTGAAAATATTTATGAGTTTTTGCTGACGTTGAGACCCTTTGAGAACGAAAACAAAATCCTGTTGACAGGCAAAAATATTTCCTACGAGAATATTGCAATAGAAATTTTGGTCCCGCAATGGAATACTCAGTTTACGAAATCTCTTACTGTTTTGTATCAACAATCGATCAGAAGAGTGCTGTACGTGCTCAGCAGACAATTTTCTGAGAATACCATTAAACAATTATCACCAAAAATCGATACAAGAAAGAGAAAAATTAAATCTCAAATCTTCTTTTGAACTTATTTCTCGACATATTCAAGCCACAGAAGAATGAGCAGCCAACCAAAGTCATCAAGACCAATATTAGCTTTAGGAGTAATGAAAAACTCCACAGAAAAACTTGTAATTCTAATTGCAAGTTATTTATCTCTGTTTTTTGTTAGTAATATAAATATTTGAATGTTTGATAAGAATGTTTAACTCATTGCTATTTGATTTTTCTGTTATATTAAGTATTTTGAAAAAATTTGAATCTTTGATCTTCAGAAAATTAGTTTCCTTTGATTATCAGTCTATAAAAACAATATTATTATATATGTTTTGCTTTTGCCATTCATAAAAAGCAAAACATGAGCGGATTGAGATTTTTGTTTGATTTTCTTTTTGTGAAAAACAATCAACAAAGTTTACATCGTACTCGGATTTCAAGGTTTCGTAGCTCTAAAAACGTGTGTGTCATAATACATACTATTTTGAACTCCGTTCTTCATCTTAATTAGCTCAAAGAAAAAAAAAATCAAAACATTTTTGAGAAGGATTTGCAACTGAAATCATAATTTTTACTTGTTGGCTTGTACACATTTTCATTTTATCCGATTTCTCTTGATGCATCGGGTCTTTTTACATAAGATTTACAAAAAAGTGTCAAAACTCGAGAGAAATGCAGCAAGCAAATTTAGCTGCAGCTGCTGGGCAGCTTCAAAATATGTGCGTGTCTCTAGAGTCTCTGGCACAACAAACAGTTGCTCATAGAAGAAAATTCCAATTTGCTGTTAGCCAATTGAGGCAATTTTGTGATCATTTTGCCTCAGTAGCAGATGCAACACCTCTCAACCGAGTTCAGTTTTACACATATAAATTCCTATTTCCGATGTTTATAAAGAATTCACAGACCTTTTCAAACAAAATATGTTACAACATGGGCTCAAACAGCTCTTGAAAATCCAACATCCGAACATCCCAACAGATTTATGTACACTCACTTCTGATTTGCAAGAAAAAACTTCTTGTCTCGATCAAGTTGGCTCACAATACTTTAATTCCACTGCCCTCAATGGCTTCAACTCCACTTGCTTGATATTCGCGCTATTTCTGCTTCCTTCCAGCAATTTATGCAAGTTCCAAACCAAGATCCTGCTGTAAAGGAGTACGTCGTTGAGCGTCTTCACAGTATTGATCAATTCCTTGCTACATATAAGGACCACGATTCATAACAATCAGGGTTAGCTGTATTCTCCCCAATTCCTGTTACATATCAGTCATGGCGTCTCAAGCATACAGATTTTACAAGCCGACAACGAGATTGGCAGTCGGTGTTTCCGCTGTTGTTTACAGTGGCACCTATCTTCCAACAGGAGAAGCCGTCGCCATCAAAAAATTAAAATTCAAGAAGCTAACAGGTCCAAAACTACAAGCTTTCCAGCGTGAACTTGCTATTTCTTGCAACAGCCATCCATCCTACAGTTCTTAAATTCATCGGTGCTACAGATTTCGCTCCATTCTCAATTGTCACAGAATGGATGCCAGGAGGCTCTCTTTCCACGATATCCATCAAAACCATAGACTCGACGTTACAGATCAGACAATTGCTCTGTTCGATATTGCTCGCGGAATGAGATTCCTCCATTCCCGCTCAATTATCCACAGAGACCTCAAAACTCTGAATGTCCTGATCGATAAGAACATCGCGCGAAGATCTGTGACTTTGGTTTTCCAAACAAACGAAGAAAATCAAGTCATGACAATGAACATCGGAACACTCACTGGATGGCCCCAGAACTCCTTAACGTGTCCCAGGCAGACCAAAACGCTGGCCAATACAACTCCAAAGTCGATGTTTACGCATATGCGATTGTCATGTGGGAAGTTTTAACTCACGACCTTCCTTACAGAGGTCTAGAAGCTACGCAGATCATTGCTCAAGTGTTAATGAACGACGCCCAGGCCAGCAGTTCCAAGAGGATCTCCGAAAGCATTTGTAGATCTTATGAAAAGCTGCTGGGCACGTGATCCAATCAATCGTCCATCATTTGCAGAGATTGTTCGCACATTTAAGAACCGGCGAAATCTATCTTGAAGGTACTGATCACAAGAGAATTAATGGAATACATCGATTCCTGTGGCGAAGAAGCCGATTTAGCCACACAACAGCTTCAAACACATTCAACAGCCTCGATAGTTCTTCAATCCACTTCAGCGAGTTCATTTCCATGATGGAAAACGAAGGAGTTCCTGAAGAACAAATCGACGCATGTTGGTCAATGATTCACAAGCACAAAGACAGCGATGTAGACTTATTCATTCGTGGTTTGATCGCTTTCTTGAACACAAGGATGTCATTGAAGGCTGGTGAAGAATTACGCGAGTTGCCATCAATACCAACAGCTTGTGCAACTAAAATAGCGAACCAGTTGCCAACAGGTGATGAAAAACTCGATGAAGCTTTGTCTGTTTGCGCTTGCAAGAAACGGATGTGCAACAACAGTTCTCGCAACAGCAATTAACGCAGAACACATCAAATTGGGCATTGGAATGCATTGCACAGAAAGGATGCAAAGATGAAGAGATTCCTACTGTTTGTTCAAATCGCTAAGAAACAGTTTTTGTCGCAAGATCCGATGATGTCTGTTTCTGTTTTGAGATGTTTAGTTGGTTTGCAACAATACAAAGAGATCTCTGTCGATATCAATCAGAACATTCCTTGGTACATCGAACAACAACTTGAAACAAGCAACTTATGTAACTGCAATCGCTGTTGCTAACCAGGGAATTGAGTTGCCTGTTGATTTGATCGACGGAATTGCTTCAAGAGCTTTCACTGATCCATTCGGAACTTCTGTTTTAATTGCAGCATGCAACCATCCAACAACAGCTGCACATCTTTTGCAGATGATTGAACACGGTTTGAGATGTCCAATCACTGTTTCTGCAAGAATGATTTTGGTCGCTTCGAAACATAAGGAATTGAAGCCACTCTTGCAGGCTGCTGTAAGAGCTGTTCCGATTAGTCATGATCAAGGCCTTAAGAATTTGTTGGTTAGGATTACATCATAAGTTTTTTAATATCTTTTGTTGTGATTTTTTTTTATTTTTATTTTTTTATTTTTTTAATGTCTCTGATTAAAAAAAACATTGATATTTATTAATTTACCAACCATATTTGATAGATTCCTGAGCATATTTGACAGTGTTTGAACCTCTAACAAAAGAGAGAATATGGATGATGAATTGAGAAAAAAAATGAAATCGAGTTTAATCTTTTGTGGAATTAACTAACCTGGTTCCTGTTAATTTTTGTATTACGTAATTAAAGCTCAAATTTGTATTTGCTGAAAATCAATATAAAAGATTTCACAAATATACTGAATGATTAGAGATAATTAAATTATTAATTGATACGAAAGATAATGTATATGCAAAAAAAGTTTCATTTTTTTCTTGGGAAAAAATGAGTTATCAACAACTGGCCAAAGACAAAACAAACAGATTTTTGCGACACTTAGACTTTATGAAAGATTTCGAAGATATTGACACGCTTCATAGCATTTACGTTCACTTTCCAGATCCGAATTATTGAAGATTTTTATTGTTCGAGTTCAACCTGAATCAGGACTTTGGGAACTTGGACAGTTTGACTTTGAATTTAGAATTCCAGATGAATTTCCTTTCCAAAGGCCAAGGGTAAAATGTCTTACAAAAATCTTCCATCCAAATATTGATGAAGAAGGTTCTGTTTGCTTAAGCATTCTTAGAGAAGATATAACCCTACTGTTTCAATTCCTTTCCTCATTGCTGGAATTCAATATTTGTTCACAGAACCAGAACCAAATGATCCATTAAACAAAAGAAGCAGCACAACAAATGTATAAACGATTTTGCCCTTTTCAAGACAAATGTCGATAAATACGTTTGTTTATATTGTACCAACATGGATCCACCTCGAAAACTATGAACCAAACTATGAAAACAACTCGATATGAATTAATAATTCCCTACAAAATGGCATACAATTCAGTGAAAATTTTGAAAAATTAATTTTATTTAAGCCTTCAAACTTGACATACAATATATATGTTTGTAAAAGATAATTATATACAAATCTCTTCCGGTTTTTGTTTCTTTATCAATAATTTGAGAAAAAATCTCATAAAAATATCATAAAAAATTCATAATTATAAAAGGAAAAATACTTGATTTGTATGAATAAAACACAATATTATCAGTGAAAATTTATAAATATAAACAAAAATAAATGAAAAATAAATTATTTGGATCCTGAAAGATATTTAAGGATCTTGGCTCTTGTTTCTTCGGTCGATCGATTGGTTGTGGCTTCGCAGCTTCGATATATTTATCAGATAAACATATTCTGCAATTCTAGCAGCATCTTCTTGTTCTTCAGGCGCTGTCCATCGTGCAGCATTGCAGCAATTGTTCTGGCGAAGTTTGTGACCTGTAAATCTGGAGTTAGACACAAAAGTGGATATCTGCAGAGCAAAAGTTCTTGTTCTCGTTCAATTGACATAGGTTCTAAGCTAGACTGGTCTACTTTCAAATGAACGCGTCTGAATTTCTCAATATTTCTTCGTCTGTCAACGACTTCACAGATTAAGCCTCCATCATACCATGTAAGGCCTAATTTCTTAACTGCTTCGTATAACGTTTTAGGTAATACACCTCTATTGATATCGTATATTAATATTGACCTCTGATGAAATATCTCCTGTGATTTCGAGTCCTCCTGAAGCTGAAACGATTGAAAACACATCTTGATCAAATGTAATTGTTAGTGAAGGTGTTAAACCTGAAAAAATGCTAACAGGGAGCTTTTCAACATCAGCGTCTGTATTTCCGTAAACTTTATTTTGAAACTGCTGGCGAAGCTGAATGCATTCACAAATTTCTCTTCTGTATGCCGATAAATGAGACATGTCCAGCTTTGAAACGTAGTCTTTGATGATTTCTTGATATTGATCGATCAAAACCGGTCCTTTTCCGGAAATTTCATCCATAGGCTCTGTTGTAACTTTGCTAAAAGATGATTTATATTGTGGAAGAAGCTGTGGCTCAGTCTGAGTTTCTAAGGAAACTCGTTGAGTCATTTATATATAGGTACAAAAGTGACACGGAAAGGAGAAATTATAATATGGATTGGGAAGGAAAGCCAGCCTGGTTTAACAGGCCACCTTATGTGAGTAACCTGCGCATCCAGCCTGGTCTTCGACACCAATCACGTCTGTTTACTCCTCCTGAACCATTTAAGCGTCCTCCAGACCGATTTCCAGATGCTCAACTCAGAATCGCAAAGAATAAATCAGATGTACATCCCCAATTACTAATATTCTTAAATGATGCAAAAAACCTCTTCTCAAGGCAACTTCCAAATATGGGTGCTGGTTACATTACAAGGCTTGTTTTTGATTTCAATGCAGAAACAGTCTTAGTCTTGCATAGAGGTATAGTAACTGGTGGAATCTGCTCTAGACTTTTCCCAATTGAACAATTTATAGAAGTTGTTTTTCTTGGCTGTCGATTCTCAGTTTCAAGCACGTGGTTATGGTGCGTCTAGTTATGAGCTACCTCAAAAAATCAATTCTCGTTTATCCATTTTACGATATTATTTGCATGTGCAGATAATGATGCCGTTATTTTCTTCAAGAAGCAAGGTTTCAATGACAAAGCAATTAACATGAATCCAAAACGCTGGATTGGCCGTATTAAAGATTACGAAGGCGTTACTCTTGTGCATTGTCCAATTCACCAAGACATTGACTACATGACATTCCCAGGAGTCATTAACAAACAGATCAGATTTGTGGAGAACATGATTGGACCTCACTTCATTGATCCTCCAGCTAGCCTCAAAAACGCTTATAGAGGTTTCCCAGAAGCACCTTCATTTGCATCAATATCTTTACCGGAAATGATGAAAATGACACAAGACCGATATGAACAGACTCCTATTGAATCAGATAAACTTGATAACTACGAAGAAAAAATGAAACAACAACGCGAAAAAATGCTTACGATACTTTCGAATTAGAAAATGATCCTAAGTTCGGATACGTTTTCATTCGTCCAGTTACAGAAGATATTGCTCCAACTTATTTCGATACAATTAAAAACCCAATGGACTTTTGGACAATGCGTAAAAGACTTATTAGATACCCAGATTTCTATAAACGACCTGAAATGTTTGCTGCGGATATTACTTTAATTACAGACAATTGTAAGGCTTTTAACCAGCCAGGTACCATTTATTCTTCGGCTGCAAACCATTTGATGTCGAGATTTAGACAACTTTACTTCGAGAGTTTCCCGAATAACCCTATTTAATCATAAATAATGTTTTTATTTTTTCTGTAACTTTAAGATTTTTTGGTAACTTAAATTGAACTTTCTTTGTTAGTTCCTCTTGAGAATTATTCCATATAAAATTAGATTATCGTATTTGAATGAAAATTGGGATGTGAAGAGTCTCATATGTGTCGAATTAAGACGAAAAATAGATGATATGTTTCCAAAATTTTTTCATTTTTATAAAAATGAAGAACAATACTTAGAAAAAAATGTTGAAAAAATGAATTTTCAATAATTTTTGGAAGTTAGTCTGCATTTCATCGCGATTTTAAAGCGGCAATTCATTTAATAATAAATATGTTATTAAATTTTTATACAAAATCCTAGATTATCGATTTGATTAGATTTTCCATTTCAAAAATATAATCAAAATTGAAGAATTTTTAGTTAGTAATGTTCACAGTTCAATAAAATTGATAATGTATATTACAGAATGTTATAAATCAATCACACAATGAGATTGACCTTCAAAATTTTTGACAAAATCTGAGAAAATGAAGCCAAAGGTCCAAGTCATTGCCCCGTGAGGCAGATTTTGCCAGAGCAACCAAAACTGATGCTTAAAGATCTTGAAGAACACTGCACCTGAATTACACCCATTATCTCAACAAATTGAATACGTTCGTGCTGTTAGAGCCGCCAAAATGAAGAAAATGTTTTCCAAGCCATTTATTGGATCATTGGAGGTCACTCTGATACCATTACAGCATTATCAAGAGATCATCGTGAAGGAGATATCCCGACATTAGTTTCTGGTAGCGTTGATGGAGATATTCGCATCTGGGACCTTTCTGCTCGTGAATGCTTACACACATTTCATGCTGGATCTTGCGTTAATGATGTTTGCAGTGATCACAAATCAGAATTAGTACTTGGTGTCAGCGCAAACGCACATATCTACGGTTTCAGAGTTGATTCTGATAGCGATGATAAAGTTCACTTTGATTATACATCACCACATGGACATTTAAGCTCAATCGACTTTTCTTATGCCAATGATCAATTTGTTAAGCAGGCGAAGCTCTTATGCTCTGGTCACCACATCGTAACCAACCGATCCTCAAATTCAGCTCTCAAATTCGTCAATTTACAGATAGCGTTTTCAATCAAAACGAACAGAACCTCATTTGCGCCTGTGCAGAAGACAGAAGCATCATCATCGCAGATACACGTACATCTACAATTGCTCGTACAATTACGATGAAGACTAAATCAAATGCAGTTGATTGGAACCCACAAAAGCCATTCTACTCGTTGTTGCAAACGATGATTCCGCATGCTATCTTTTCGATGTTCGTAAGACCGAATCCGCCATCAGAGTTTTCACAGATCATTTAGGACCAGTTACATGCATCAATTTCTCTCCAAATGGAAACGAATTCGTTTCCGGCAGCTACGACAGAACAGTCCGCGTCTGGGATTGGTCCCAAATCAAGTCCCTCGACTGCTACATACGAAACGTATGCAAAGAGTATTTTCATGCTGCATTTCACATGATTCTAAGTTCGTCATCACTGGTTCAGAAGACATGCCAATCGACTCTTCAAGACTAAGGCCAATGAAGTACTTACAGCCAGATCAAAGAAGGAAGAAAGGCAACAAAACATGAATGAAAGATTACTCAAGAAATGGAGACATTCTACTGAAGTTAAAATGATCGCTGAGAAACAGAACCTTCCAAAGACACTTCACAAGACAGAGATACGAAAGAGCAAAACAAATGGACGCTGTTTCAAGAAAGGCTTTAGCAAGAATGGCCCATTCTAAGGATCCAGAATCAATGAAACAAAAAGCCATTGAGAATTGGAAGAATCGTGGACGACGATGGAAGAGAAGAACAAAAGCAAGAAGAACAGAAAGATAAGCCTTTTTCTTTTTACTTTGATTTTATGTTATTTACCATTTTTTTGTAGAGATAAAATTTTTTATTTTATTTATTATTTTACCAACAGCTTTTAAGAGTTATCATTTGAAATAACCTTGATTCCGGTCAACTTCAAAAATCTTCAAAATTTTGAAGTTTCGGAGTTTCTTAATTTTTATATTTTATTTCATCTCGAGAAATGTTAGGTGTTATTTTATATTCGAAATTGAAAAAATTTCATTAATTTTTTTTTATAACTTCTAAATGAATTCTACTTCAGATCTTGATTTTAGTTCATATGAGCTACAGTTGATTGACTTTGTGAAAAGGCAACGACATGAAGGTAAAGAATTGATAATCGAGAAAGAAATGACTCAAATTTCGAAGTTCATTGCAATGAATCATAAAGTTTCATATAAATTACAGAAGTCCCAATTATACAAACAGTTTCCTTTTATATCAGATATTTCAATTTGCCTTAATAAATTAAAAATTCGAAAAGCAGAGGATCCATTTTTATTAATTTCAAATGATATTGTTGGAGATCCTCGGTTTAAAAAGTGTATTAATGATGATGACTTCGAATATGGAGGTGTTTCTGTCTTTATTCAAGATAATGAATAGTTTATTGTTTACCTTCGCGAAAATCAATAAAGACATGCTGAAACGGGTTTACACAAAAGTTTTAGATGATATCAAGAAGAACGAACAGCTAATATTGAGACAATTCTTCAAATATGTAACGATATTCGATTTGAACTTCGTATAAAATCAATAGAATTCAACAGGAGAAACCAGAAATTCCTTGACGATCACGTTCAAGATTTTAAATCAAACATAAATTCATAAATGAAATACAAGAATATACTCAACAGTTTAATGGGCATTTCGTACATTTTCAGAACTTAGATTTCCAAGACATTAAGTCACATTTGAGGTGATGCTTCAAAATCCAGAATTCATCAATTTACTTTTATCAAATGCTCGTGAATCTGGTTTATCGATATATCCACCATCTGACTTATTTATTATTACTACATACTATCAAAATGTCAATAAGTCATCAGATAATCTGGATCCGAAACCAGATAATCTAAGTCAGATGAACAGTCCATTGAAAATACCAAAGAAGTCACGAATTCCTATCCTCCTCCTATAGTTATATTCTCCTCGTGATACTAAACGAAAGATTCCAGTTCGACCACCATCTGAAGAGACCGCTGCCACAAGTTCTGTACTTTCGAGGAAGAAACAAATACTAGCAGCCAAGTGTATGCAGAAATGGATGCAAACCCTCCAATGATGGCTGAATCTCCTGCACTTAATAGGCCAAACACCATTGGTTCTGAACTTGCGAGGTTTAGTAGGAGCAGCGACAAAAGCAGAATGCAGGAAATCCAAATAATTGTCCATTTGGCGATCCTTTCGCTGACGATGATGATTTAGTTGTTCCAACATGCGCAAAAGAAGTTTTAGCGCAAAGAAAAATGAAGAAATCAAAAGGAATATACGATAATCCATTTCCTCCTTTCTTATTAGATGGAAATGACGATGATGACGATTTAGTTATACCAACAGTTGACAAGAGTTCCTGAAACAGAAAGGATTGACTATTGAAGAAGTCAGAAAGAGTCAAATGGTCGCTCCTTTAACAAAACAAGACCAGGAATACGAATTTCCTACTTTAACCGATTCTTCATCAGCCACAGCTTCTCCAATCAAGCTCAATTCGTCTAAGGAAGATCAGGATAGTGGAGAACTCCTTCTTCCGATCCCCGTAAACTCATCTTTAAGTGATGATTCTGTTCCGTCATGGAAAGTACCCAATTAACTCAGCCGCCAAAAATACGCCAACAAGAAAAAAGCAGAGTGTGTTTGCTTCACTCAATGACTCACATTTCAACGACCAAGCATTTCAACCTTTCCAAAAAGCCTCTTCTGCTATTTCAAACATCAATATTCCAGCTTCCCCGCAACGGAAAGCCGTTACGAATATTCGGTACGCGATTCGGATGACGAAGACGAAAAAGAAAAAGTTCCGAAATTGAACCTAAAATATTCGGTACGCGATTCGGATGACGAAGACGAAAAAGAAAAAGTTCCGAAAATTGAATCGCATCCTCCTATGAATCCATTGGAGTTAATAGGTGGCGAAGATACACAAGACGTGGACCACAAGATGATGCTCGATGTTAACTATATGATGCCAGAGGAAACATCGAAATGATCACAAATGGCTGGGAACAAAGATCGCAGAAGAGAAAGAAGAAGGAAAAGATAAGACTCCAGCAGCTCGACGCTAAGTATGAAGTTGAAATGCGCAATTATAATGCACAGATAACCATAAAAAAACCAGATGGTTCCGTAATTTATCGACCACCCATTCCAAAGACAGCTGCAGGGCGAAAGAAAAGACATCCAGGCTAAATACATAGAGAAAAGGAGACAATGAAGAGATTTAATGATAGGAAAATCGGTCTAATGATCGAAGCAATGCAAAGAGAACTTGAAAGAAAAAAAGCAAAATTAATTGAAATAGAAAAAGAGTATGAGAAGTATGGATACATCATTCCTCCACCGAGGGAAAAACATGTAACAAGACCTAGAAGAAATACAAGTAGAATTGCTCCAAGAACATGATTTTTTATGTTCCAATTATCTATATTAGTAATTTTTTTTATGTTTTATTTTGTTTGTTTGTAAATATAAGGTATTTAATATACATATTATTCTTTACGAGTGATATGTAGTTTTTTTTTCTTCCGTAATTCTATTCAATTTTCAAAATGAATTGAGAACTTTACAAATTGTAAAGAGAGTAGTCAAGTAAAAATTCTCCATAAGACAGTACAATACTTTTTTGTCCCCTGTTCAAAATAGCATCTATACTGTGAAATAAATAATATTACAAGCTAATTTTCTGATTTTTCATGGAAAATTTCGTAAATGAAAAATTCATAAGGTGAACTAAAGTTTCAGAAAAGGATTGACTCGGGGTTATGATTTTTGTGTGAAATATAATAATTAAATATATAAAAAAGAAATTAAAAAAAGAATAAACAAATGAAAGAAATTTGTGGATAAATCTTTTTATTGTATGGATGTCATATCATGACGAATTTATTTCTTGTCAAATTGAGAGTTACGTCCTTAACAAGATCAGCGATATCAGCTGGTAATTCTGCGATTTGTGTTTGATATATTTTTCAATCTCCTTGATTCTGATCATGTCGCTTGCATCGCAGATGTTGATACGATACCCTTTCTACCATATCTGCCAGAACGACCAATACGATGGAGAAAATTCTCAGCTGTATTTGGCAATTCGAAGTTAATGACCAATGTAATCTGCTGGACATCAATACCACGAGCCAAAGAGTCAGTTGAGACTAAAGCGCGTGTATTGCCTGTTCTAAATGGATGCATAATTCTATCACGTTCTGCTTGTTCCATACCACCATGGATAGCAGAAATATTGAATTCGTTGGTTTCAAAGCTCTTCTGAAGGTATTCTACAGTCTCCTTAGAGTTTGCAAAAATGACAGCCTTTTGGATAGAAAGGGAGCCGTAATATCGAGGAGTGTTGGAAACTTGTTAACACTGGTTTCAACATTTACGTAGAACTGCTTAATACCTTCAAGTGTAAGCATTTCGGCCTTGACGAGAATTTTAACTGGATCATTCATGAATTGGTCTATGATGCTGAGGATTTCTTTTGGAAATGTGGCGGAGAATAAAAGGAATTGAATGTCCTTATTAAGATATTCGAAAATTTCTTTGATTTGGGAGATGAAGCCCTCGCCAGCATTTATCAGCTTCATCAATGCAAGCAATCTGAATATTCTCGCAGCGAAGATAACCTTTGGAAATAAGATCAAGTGCACGTCCTGGTGTGGAAACTGCAATATGTGGGCATTCCTGGGCTTTAGCCTGATCATCAGCAACTGAGTTACCACCCTTGAAAAGCTCAACCTTGAGGTCAGCCATCTTAGAGCCTATTTCAACAAAGAAATAGTAAATCTGTGTGGCAAGTTCTCTTGTTGGTGCAAGAACAAGGGCTTGTGTTGTAGGTTGCGTAGTATCTATTCTATTTAAAATGCCAATTGCAAAGGCACCTGTCTTACCTGTACCAGATTGAGCCTGGGCAATGACGCAGCGATTCATCAAGATAGGTTTGATGGAAAGTGATTGGATATCAGATGGACCTCTGAAGCCATAGTTGTAAATACCTCTTAATAATAATGGCTTCAACTCCATTTGATCAAAATCATCGATGCGCTCATTCCAGTTTGCTTCGAAGGTTTCGGATTCGCCTTGAGGGGCATTCCTTCCCTGATATGAAGAACGATATTGTCTACCTCTACCTCTACCTCCACGGCCGCGGTTCATCGAAAAAAGTGTCAGATTTCAATACTTTATTTTCTCAAATCTCTTTCAAAAAACCAAACGGTCATCAACAAAATATGTATAATCGGTCGAAGTGATTAACATGAAATCTGTATCTAAACTTAAAAGGTAACATTATATCTGGCTAATTAAAGTCAATTTTTTAGCTCGTAAGACTCCCATTTTCACTAAGAAGATTGGCCCCTCCTTGAAATAGATTTTTGTAAAACTCGAGCTCCAACACATATCGCACATGCCCGATTTTAAAATACTTTCATTTTTGGAATCTTATTGTAAAATATTAAATTTGCAAGGGGTAAGTATGAACAATATGTATTCCTTGGGATAAAAGAGGAGTGACACTATTCATTGATGTCCATAAGTCAATTCATTTTACAAATTTTATGCCGAATATCGATTTCATACATAAATAGGAGAAAGTATTACTTGTTTCCTTGACTTATGCTATTGCATTCACCTATTAAATACTCATGAGCTATAATAACCATGCATCTATTGATTCAATCATATTCAATTTTATTATCTTCATTTTAAAGCTTTATTTTTAATACTTACATTTAAATGGTCAACAGCTTGTCATTCTACTAAAGGCTTTGCTGAAATGTTACCTTGTAATCATTTCAAATTTGAAAAGCAAATTTTGAAAAGCTTCTGACGGAAGTTTTTATCTATGCATTATTAGCTTTATATCTGATACTTTTTACGGTATTTTTCAATTTTTATTCAATAAAAATGCTATAATATTTATAAAGATACGCTATATTATACATTTCAATTTAGACTTGCATTTTTGAGTATCTTACTATCAAAAGTTCCACTTTTTTGCTGACCATAAATTGAAAAGAAATTCATTTTAACATTTTTCAGTTATTTGATTTCTTTTTTATTAGCGATTGTTTTCTGTGTTTTATTTCTTATCTCAAAATAAATCGGTTTAATTCAATTTGTTTTCATCAATTGCATGCTGGGTTTTCCTTTCCTTGATATCGCCCAATCCATTATTTATGAGAATAACAGAACAGTCACAAAAGAAATGCTGGACACTACTGCCGAAATGGTTATGAAGCTTGTAAATAAGGAAATAAAATTCGAAGAAATTAAAGCACCTAGTATTCCAATCAGATGCTTTATGGATGCGTGCAAGAAGGTCTCAGATGTCCTTAATACCGAGAATGAGCCAATTCCTCCTCAGATTGGAGATGAAGTACCTCATTACGGCGAGAGGAAAGAAGACTCACCAATGGACAAAAAACGAGGACAACCGCTTACTAATGGGTGTCTACAAGTTTGGCCTCTCAAATTGGGCAGCTGTCTCTGAATACGTTGGGTCGGGAAGAACAAAGTGTCAGTGCAACCAAAGATGGGTCAGAGCACTTGATCCAAAAATATCTAAAGCTGATTGGACTGAAGAGGAAGAAGAAAAATTACTCCAATCCATAAAACAATTTGGAAATCACGCATGGACAAAAATCAGTTCTGCTCTGGCAACAGGACAGACTTTCAATGCAGATATCGATATATTCAGATGAAGCGCGCTGAAGAAGAGAAGAAAAAGAACTGAAAAACGAAAAGCCGCTATACCCGATCCCACAGATTAATAGTATTCCAAATCAGCAATCTCAGACGATATTCTTAGATAAATTTGATATCGACTTAGTACTAGAAAAGGATAATGATCCTCTCCATTTCGCTCAAGAGTCTTCGTGCATTGATCCAGAGACCTTGTATGATACTACTGTTTGGTAATTTCATGATTGTAAATTGATAATGTTTTATTTTTTGAAAATAATACAATCTAATTTTTTGATAATTTTTACTATTTCTCTTATGGATTGATAAGTGAAATATATGACATTTAATTGATTTACCTTGTATCTCATCAAAACTGGTTTAATTATTGTTGCCTATCGTAAGTGAATCATGCAATCAGATTAATCAGAATTATATTTGTTTTCATCATATACATCAAATGAGCAATAAAAACCCTATTTTCATAAAACAATTGTTTAGATTTCTAACTCCAACCACTGCGATTTCAAACAATCTTTTAAAAATCGATTTAGGCAAAACTCAGCAAGAATATAATAAATTGTTACGACCGTAAAAATGAAGGTGAATAATTTTACAGCAAACGATACGAATTATTGTTTCCCTATGAATCTATTTATGCAGATGCAAACAAATCATCTTCCACAGATAGAGAGTAGAACCAAATTATCAGGATGCTCATATTAAAAAGAATTCATTCGCATTTGTTAACGTTGGAACGAAGTTTCTGATGATTTCGACTAACAAAAGAGAATCAAAGCGAATTGTCGGGATTCATCATGTATATACATATTCTTATTTTCGAATGATTATGATTCACTGTTTATTGAACAGTAATCATCACATTGACTAAAGCAGATGCTGTTTGATGTTCTCAAACAATAAAATGTTTGTGTGAAGCCATTCTTTGATACGAAAGAAATTAATTTGTCTATTTATAACAAATAAGTTAAGTGGTGCATCTCGAATAACAATAAATTAAAAATTCAATGCAATTTCAGCCAGTTTTCACTATTTTTATGAATGATACAAATAGTATTTCGCCAAGAGACATTAAACATCCCATAACAACAACGAAAAAGAAAAAGATTAAACATCAAAGATCCATATTTCAGAGTATTTCATCAAAATATGACTCAATTTTTAAATCTTTTTTATCAAAAATCAGTTTTAGCGACAATTTTCATAATAAATTACACATCCTCGAATTATATACAGATACAGACAATATCACAGATAATACTGAACCATCAGACTCCAAAACAGAAAGCAAATTAGAAGTTCCACATTTTTTTACCGAAATCGATGCGATGTTTATTTTCATTTGCTTATTTCTCGGAATCCTGTCTCGCACATTTGTAGCCGATAATCCAAACAATTGCACGTTTGATGAAACTCACTTTGGAAACTTCACAAATTCATATATCAGACAAGAATACTTTGTCGACATCCATCCTCCACTTGCAAAACTGTGGATTTCAGGATTTTCAAAACTTCAAAATTATACCGGTCACACAGTTTATAATTCTTCAACATACACTGACACAGATTATGTTGAACTCCGTTTTTGTGTCACATCATTTTCATCTCTTGTCCCATGTTTATCATATCTTTCTCTTCGCATTCTGGGTGTTTCACCCAGCAATTCAATTTTATCCTCCGTTCTTTTATTATGCGACAACAGCCTTGCCGCAGAAGGTAAACTCATTCTCACCGACGGAATCCTTCACTCAGTTTCTCTTATTTCAGTTTGCTGCAGTTGCTATTTATTTGTTGACGATTCTATCATTCATTTGATTATCTGTGGTCTTTCATTAGGTTGTGCCTGCTCTATCAAATACACAGCAGGTGGCTTGATTTCATTACCCGCATTTTTCCTCTTTTTCAAGATATGTAGTGGCAATTTATATGAATTATTCATTTTACCACCATTTCAATCACATTCAAAAGAACGAAACAATATATATTCATCAGAAGAAAATGAATCTTCAAACGATAATCTTATTATTCGAATATTTCACACGAAATTTATTATTTTAATCATGGAAGATATTATTATTGTCACATTTGCTATTTCAGTCTTAATCACTACATTTTTTGTTCATATCATTGTTTTGAAATACAAGAGCTATTTAGAAAACGGCTTTGACTCATCATACGAGAACTCATTATTATGGCGTTGGGAATCTCAAGACCAAAGTCGATTTGTTTCTACGGGACTATTTAAACGGTCATGGATCTCATTTGTTTCTATGCACACAATTAATAACGGATGCAAAGTCCAAGGCGGATTTGAATCTAAGTGGTATCAATGGCCATTAGTTCGCATTAATTCATTAATCTGGTTTCAAACATCTAATAAAGCAGTTTGGCCACTTCCCAATCCATTCACATACTACTTTTGTGTCTATGGTATTATTTTGTGCTTTATCTTACCTATTTTTAAAATCGAAACTATTTCATTAATTAGTTGGACTATTACATACTCATCGAGTTTATTCCCATTTATATTAGTTCCACGAACTACATATCAATACCACTACTCTATTCCACTAATTATTGGTGTTCTCGGATTTTGTCACTCATTTAGTTTTCTTCCTATGAATCAATCTCTGAGAGCATCAATTTGTTATACTATATGCATTATTACACTTGTTTTCGGGATTTATTACTTCCCAATTCTTCATTCATTTCCAGATGTACCTTTACATTTCAGAGCATGGAAACCTATTCTTAAGAAGATCTACAACCAAAAGTTCACCATGCTATCAGATCTCACTATTAATATTCTACAAGGACCAAAAGCTTAATTATATTTTTTTTGTTTGTTTTAATAATAACATATAAAATATGAGTTTATTTATTTAAGATATATATTTTTCTCAAATGGCATCTTTATAAAAATTATTAAATTCGAATTTACCAAATATTTACTGCCTAGCCTGAGAAAGAATAATTCCATTATACCATGCGTTTTACTTAGAACTTAGTTTCATATACAACTACTATCGAACGATAAAAATATAATTTTTTAATACGGTTGAGGTGTTGGATTTGGTTGCCAACTAGACTGTGGTGCAGGTTCAGGCTGTTGTATAACAGGAGCTTGCTCTTCTGGTTCAGGGTCTTGTAGGTATAATACCAACGAACTGACCTACTCTTTTACCAATATTTTTTGACTCCGTTCCAAATTCCTCTTCCTACGTTTTTATTCCATTCCATATACCTCTTCCAACATTTCGAAAGAAGTTTCCTATCTTACTGAAGAAACCCATTTTACTATATGTAAAAATCTAATGTCCGCCTAGTCTCTTACGTTTCCTGTTGAGTTCCATAGCATTCTTTAACTGGAGCTCATACATTCTGTTTCTCCTCTGGTAGAAAACATATTCTGGGTCAACTCCTGTGTTCGCGTCATCTGCATAAAGTTGTTTATATCCCACTTCAGGGTTTGTATAAAACTCTTTCCATCTCATATTTGCATACCATGGTGGCAAACCTAACGCAGCGTCATTTGACATGGCAGTTTGCATTTGTACATCTGTTGGCACTTGACCATAGTTTGCCATTGCAGTTTGTATTCTAACTTCATTTGGAATATTCTCTGGGTTTGGTTGTCCAGGTTGCTGTGCATTCGCTAAGTTCTGTGCGTCCATTTAATATTAGATAAAAATATCTCTTACGAGTACATATACTGAACATTTGCAGGCATTGGTTCATCTTCATATTCTCTGTACTTTTCTGCCACGTCAAAGAAATAAATGACACAATGGAAAAACCTAAAACAAGTAGTCCGATTTCAAACCACATTTACTTACTAATAAAATTTCTTTGTTATGACACTTTCTCCAGTTTATAGGACCTCTCTCATATTCTATCTTGTCATATATAAACTCATAGTCATGTATGTCCTCTAACCATCTCATAACGGTTTCCAAACCACTTTTATCGGATGTAAAGTAAAAGCATGGATGGTTATGTAAAACGTCTAAAGTTTCTAAAGAGTCTCTCAAAGTCCAGTCTACTTGGTATTGAAAATCCCATGTGTTATAGAACGGCGGGTCCACTATAAAGAAAACATTTTCCTTGTCTTTATATTTTTCATACAAATCTGTCCAATGACATCTCACAAACTCTATACCCTCAATATATTTTTCTATGTCCTCTTTGAAAACATTTGTATAGTTAAGATATAAAACTTTTGACATAAGTGTTTCAATGTCATGAACTCTTATAGAACCACTATATAATAGTCTAGCAGATATACTATCCCAGTCTATATATTCTGCTTTTTTCAAAACCTCTCTCACAATATTTTTCTTATCTAATGGTATACGTTCCATCTTACCTATCTGAATCTTTTCTTTTAACTCACTCAATATATTGTTTGTGTCTGGTATATGTTTGAGACGGTCCATATAGTTGTCGAAGTCATTGCATATAATCTTTGAGTCTGGGAATATTATATGGCACAAATGGGATATATAGAAACTTCCACCGAACAAATCTACAAATGTTAGACCATTCGGTAGTTTCTTAAGTTGTCTCAATATAATATCTTTACATCTACTCTTATTTCCAAAGAACGGTAACGGTGGTTTTGTAAAATTCATTTATATATAATAATAAAAATGTTTTTACCCGAAAAGTGACAGAAAAGTGACAAACCATGAAAACATATATAATTTGTGAAAAGCGACACAAAAAGTGTCACCGGCTGGTCGGCTGGGGTTCGGTCCTCCTCTTGGGTCTTGGGAAAAATTTCTTATGGGCTAGAGGGCGCAACGCGCCTGGAAGCCCTCCAAATATAAACTTCATTTATAATAATCATCTTCAGGGCTAGAAGGGGCGCAGCCCCTGGAAGCCCCATTACCTTTTTTTTTTTTTTTTTTCAAGAAGTCTAATTTTATTTTATTTCCAAGTAACAATTTTGAGCACGATATTTACCGGTAAAATAGATTTTCTGAAGATTTGAAACATCAAAATCTCAAATTGTAAAATGAATAAAAAATATTTATTTCAAAATGTGAAATCTAGAAGGTGTGCTTTAGAGATAAATAGATATTTCTCTTGTAGAGTAAAACATAGTCTTTAATTTGATTCAATCAAGAATAATATTAAAAATATTATTTGTTCATTCATGTTACAGCTCATTCTTTATGACAAACTGAATCCCAAGTTCTAAGAATGAGGAAAGATGATAATAAGAAACTCCAATATTGTTAAGTTAACATTTTTTGGAATATATATTTCCCTGGTCTTATGGAGTTATGAAGTTTGATCAATATTAAATCCTTAAATTTGATTTGATCAATATTATTTATATAAACTAAGGAAAAATTGATATAAAAACAACACATTTTTTATTTTTGCTCTCTAATAATTCCGTAAAAATCAATCTTAAAGAAAGACAACACGTTCTCACCCTTTTTATTAGGTCCCATCATTCTAATTCTATATTTATTTGACAGAGTTCTGTTTTCAATTGAAAAATTACGATGCCATGCATTCAAATCTTTATATCTCTGTTCGTTTGCCTTCTTCCTATTCTTTTCCCATCCGTAATTAACCTTCTTATCAAGGATAACCCAGTCGTTGTAATTCTGGAATCCATCATAAGATTTTTGAGAGGATAAACACTCAAATAACCATGTAGTTGGCAAATTATCAGGGTCGCCAAGGAAAAACATATCATAACTTAATAATTCAAACAAAGATTTCTTCAATTTAAATTCGTATTCAACCCATGGAGTCATAGAAGTAGATTCACTAGTATAAACAACTTCAGATCCGGCATCTATTAAGTTCTCTACCATGCTGCGAGTTCTATATGGATGTTCAGAGACATTAAAAAAGGATTTATCGTAGTTGAACAGAATTCCTCCAAATCCTTTCTCTTTATCATAAATAAATCTCTTTGTTATTTTATCACTAGGGCCTTGCTTTGATTTAATACGTATAATACCTTCATTTATTGAATCTATTCCAGAATAGTTTCTCAAACGACTTGATTTCAGTAATTCTTCCATCTGCTGCTTTGTCTGACTGATTTTTTGCTCTTTGTTACTTTTACCTTTACCGACATTCAAAGTAAGATTAAAATTGTGTGTTAAATCTAAATCTGTGATTAATCTTGTAGCGAATTGCTTAGAGCTGAGGACAGAAAATCCGTGGAAGTTCACATTAAATGTCGTTGTGTTTTCTTCTAATTCTTTTTGTGCTTGTTGCTTTGCTTTGATGAGTTCGTGCTTTGCATTAGGAATATCTAATAAATCATTATCTTCAAATACTTCTAATAGGCCATCTCGAAGTAGTGAATCAATATTTGCGACAGATGTAATTGAATCATACAAATCATAGTTAAATTTTTCGATATTTTCTACAATAGTGTCTTCAGTAGTTGGCGAATCACATAATGTACTCATAATGATTGGTGCCAAAAGACTCTTATAGCCTCTAGATTCAAAATCTTCATCTAAATTCATAATTTTGGAATTTTTTTTCTCCGTTGTCACATTTTTTATGTGAAAATCCAAATGGATATTTAATTGCTTATTCGTATAAACAGTATTGTGTACAATTATTTTCTTGTAAACAAAATCAATTTTATTTGACTAAATGAATTTTGTAATCGTTATGATGCATAATCAATTTATCGAATCCATCAAAACGGCTACAAAATGCACACAGAACCGATATTTCCATTTCCAGAACGAATTACTCACTTTCCTATTTTCATAAATATTGTCACTTTTTCACTTCATCAATGAGTACTACTCAGACAGATGCTGCTCCACCTTTGAAGATCAGCACAATTAATGCTGCATCACTCAGAGCTGCTTGGGGAAAGGGTCTTCATGACTGGGCATTAGCTTCAAAACCTGATGTTATCTGCATCCAAGAAACAAAAATGCACGAGACAAGTCAGCCGAATATTGGCGCCTTCCTTCTTGATGGATACCAGGGCTACTTCTTCGATTGCAACAAACCAGGCTTCCACGGTACTGCTATCTACACAAAGATCAAACCCATTTCTGTTAAGGAGAGTTTTCCGGACGATGAGGGCCGCTCCATCACAATGGAGTTCTCTAACTTCTATTTGATCAATTCTTACGTTCCAAACGCCGGCCAGAAATTAGAAAAGCTTACATACAAGATCGAAACATGGAATCCACACCTTAAGGAATATCTCGATGAGCTCAGCAAGACAAAGGCAGTCATTTGGACAGGAGATCTTAACGTTGCTCATGAGGAAATCGACATTTTCGATCCAAAGGGCAAAGATAAGACAGCAGGCTACACTCCACAAGAAAGAGAGTGGTTCCACAAGTTCCTTGAGAGCGGATACACAGATATCTTCCGTAAGAGATACCCAGATAAGAAGGAATTCTCCTTCTATACATACAGAGGCCAAGCCAAGGCCAAGGGCAATGGATGGCGTCTCGACTACTTCATCATGGATAACGCCCACTACAAAGATGAGCTTGTCAACGACTGCGCAATGGAAACTGGCGATTTCTCTGACCATGTTCCTGTTTCTCTCTTCCTTGACAGATCATTATTAGCTGCTGAAGATGTTGCAGTCGATAAGACCTTCAACAAGCGCCTTAACAACGATACAATTGTTGATACTCCAGAAGTTGTCCCAGAAAAGGCCAAACCAAAGAAAGGAAAGAAGGACCAGCCAACTGAGGAAGAACCTAAGGAAGAAGAGGCCAAGGAAGAGGCAAAAGAAGAACCAAAGAAGGAAGAATCTGAAGAAAAGCCAAAACCAAAGCCAAAGAAAGGAAAACAGGCTAAGGAAGAAGAATCTAAACCAGCTGAAGAAGCCAAACCTGTCACAGAAGAGGCAAAGCCTGCATCTGAAGAATCAAAACCGGCAGAAGAGGCCAAACCAGCTGAAGAAGAGAAGCCAAAGGCAGCCAAGCCAAAGAAGACAAAGAAGGTCGTAGAAGAAGAGCCACAAGAGCCAGAGGACGAAGTTGATGATGAAGAAGAGGAAGAAGATAAGCCAAAGAAGAAGAGGAGAGGAAAGAAAGGTGAAGAACAATCATTGAAGAGAATGCAGACAAGAGAGAAAAGGAAAACAATCTACTTCTCTGACGATGATTCAGATGATTCAACAGAATACACCGGAACACCAAGAAAGACAAGAAGATCTAAGAAATGAAACTAATTTATTTTAAATCAACTTTTTTATTGTTTTAACTATCCACTAGAAACTTTTATTTTTAAAATTTTAAACTCAATTTCATATATTTTTATTTTTTTGATATCTGGCGCTCAAAAACTGATAGAATTGAGATATTTCTATGCGAATGAACACTGTTTTATTCGATTAATATATAGCATAGAGCAGAAAGAGTACTTTAAGGTATTATATTGATGAACATTGCTAATCTAAAGCATATTTAAATGGCGAAAGATTCCATTGAATTTTCTAAAAAAAAATTACATAGATCAGTATGAGTTGTTTGACAATTTTAATACTAAAAAATATAAAAACAATAGTTTAAACTCTGGACATCATATACTACACTCGACATATTCAAACATGAATCAATGGAGTATCTGTAAAATCATGTGAATATAGAAGTTTGAATATAAAATCAGAAAACCGGAAAATCCGATTTACCTAAAAAAATGATTGATACCAGTGATACCTTACAGCAACACCTTAGAAGTGTATGATATGATGATCATCAGTACACAACACACTTGAAATCAGGACTCATATTTGTTTAGATTAAAAACCTTATTGTTGGAAAAATTGAGAAATTTAAGTGGTCGGTCAGAATCCTGTATAGTTTTGACCGGAAAAGTGACAATTTATTATGATTTCTTTTGTTTTTTCATTATCAATATATACAGTTCACATGGGTCATGGTGTTATCCCGTCGAGCGAATTTGATAATAGTTCATACATACAAGCAGTTCGAATTATACCTCCACGTTCTCCATCAAAAGACGAAAAGTTTTACTTTGTTATATTAACTATGATCAATGAATACAATAGTATATATGAATTCACCGGACACGAAGAACAAACTATAGCTCGTGAATCATACGCAACGAACGATTTAGAATACTTTTTAATTTCTCTTAATTCATCAATCAAAGCCATTTTTATCACCGGCTTCTATCCATTACCTCTAGTCTCTGTCACAAACATAATTTTTTCAGAAACACGACAAATAAATTTTGTTTTAATTCCGAACTACGATACTACATATCACATTCTGGTTTCATCAAAAATCGAACAGTCACATATTATCTAATTCGACCGCCCCCAACATATTAGAACCCGAGAGTAACATTTTTATTCGAGAAAACACATATTGTATTATTTCATTTGAAATCGAATATAATTCACATATGTTTGAATTTACGATTGATTCTATGGAACTTCATAATGATTTCTTACGTGACCAAGACTATTTTTATGGTGCTCGCGAATCTAACACTCAAATTTCATCATTTTACAAGTCTCCTAAATTTTGAAAGATATTCACCAATAAGTCTAGGAATAATACCAACAAATAATGCTTCAGATGTATGCATATATGTTCACTGCGCATTCTTACCAAATCCTTATATGGATGGCCACGTCTTTGCATATGATAGTAGCTCAAAAGAACTGAATTTGAGCAAAGGATATTCTAATATTTCATTTACAATTAATTCAACTCGATATCCATCAATTTTGTTTTATTCAAATGATGAAGAAATCGATTATGTAGTATCAAGTCTGAGAGATATCACCATTAACTTATCAAAATCTGATTTTTATTTACGATTTATGGTTTTTAATGGTCTCTCATATCAAATTTCATCAAAAAATTATAAAATTAATATTATGTCTAACACTGCATTCCAAACTTTACGAGCGAATATTAACGACACATCAATAAATGGGTTCATCAAGTTTAAAACAACAGACCTTTACAAGAAACCATTTCTTAATGATTACATTAAGTTTGATAATAAATATGATTTCAAAGATAGAATTAGCGGAATCTTTTTCCCTTTAATGATAGGATTTATCCTTCTTGGATATTTACTCGCAATGCTGACAGCATTCAGAAACAAAATTTTACTCTAAGCTTTTTTTTGTTTGCTTGTTATATAAATATTTCTTTTTGTCTTTTATTTGTTATATAAGGTCGATGAAAAAACGAGCGTTTTTAAAAAACCGCCGTTTGAGAGGAAAATTGAGAGCCACGATGTATACTTTTTGACATTGTCAAAAACTTTGAAAGGACCAAAAAAATTTTAGTGTCAGAAAGTTTACAAATGTATATTTTCTGACAAACAGACTCTCAGAAAGTACTCAAACTGCGGTTTTTAATTTCCGCACTTTTTTTGCGACCTTAATCTCAAGCATCAGAAATGAGGAATCAATATATATATATATTATATTTTGGTGTATGTAGTGATCCGAAAACATACCAAATTTAAAGGATTATTATTTTCGTCTGGAAAAGTGATAAAATTATCATTATTGTCAAATGACAATGATAATTTAAAAGTTTGAGTGAAAAAGTGACAATTTATTATGATTTCTTTTGTTTTTTCATTATCAATATATACAGTTCACATGGGTCATGGTGTTATCCCGTCGAGCGAATTTGATAATAGTTCATACATACAAGCAGTTCGAATTATACCTCCACGTTCTCCATCAAAAGACGAAAAGTTTTACTTTGTTATATTAACTATGATCAATGAATACAATAGTATATATGAATTCACCGGACACGAAGAACAAACTATAGCTCGTGAATCATACGCAACGAACGATTTAGAATACTTTTTAATTTCTCTTAATTCATCAATCAAAGCCATTTTTATCACCGGCTTCTATCCATTACCTCTAGTCTCTGTCACAAACATAATTTTTTCAGAAACACGACAAATAAATTTTGTTTTAATTCCGAACTACGATACTACATATCACATTCTGGTTTCATCCAAAAATCGAACAGTCACATATTATACTAATTCGACCGCCCCCAACATATTAGAACCCGAGAGTAACATTTTTATTCGAGAAAACACATATTGTATTATTTCATTTGAAATCGAATATAATTCACATATGTTTGAATTTACGATTGATTCTATGGAACTTCATAATGATTTCTTACGTGACCAAGACTATTTTTATGGTGCTCGCGAATCTAACACTCAAATTTCATCCTATTTTACAAGTCTCCTAAATTTTGAAAGATATTCACCAATAAGTCTAGGAATAATACCAACAAATAATGCTTCAGATGTATGCATATATGTTCACTGCGCATTCTTACCAAATCCTTATATGGATGGCCACGTCTTTGCATATGATAGTAGCTCAAAAGAACTGAATTTGAGCAAAGGATATTCTAATATTTCATTTACAATTAATTCAACTCGATATCCATCAATTTTGTTTTATTCAAATGATGAAGAAATCGATTATGTAGTATCAAGTCTGAGAGATATCACCATTAACTTATCAAAATCTGATTTTTATTTACGATTTATGGTTTTTAATGGTCTCTCATATCAAATTTCATCAAAAAATTATAAAATTAATATTATGTCTAACACTGCATTCCAAACTTTACGAGCGAATATTAACGACACATCAATAAATGGGTTCATCAAGTTTAAAACAACAGACCTTTACAAGAAACCATTTCTTAATGATTACATTAAGTTTGATAATAAATATGATTTCAAAGATAGAATTAGCGGAATCTTTTTCCCTTTAATGATAGGATTTATCCTTCTTGGATATTTACTCGCAATGCTGACAGCATTCAGAAACAAAATTTTACTCTAAGCTTTTTTTTGTTTGCTTGTTATATAAATATTTCTTTTTGTCTTTTATTTGTTATATAAGGTCGATGAAAAAACGAGCGTTTTTAAAAAACCGCCGTTTGAGAGGAAAATTGAGAGCCACGATGTATACTTTTTGACATTGTCAAAAACTTTGAAAGGACCAAAAAAATTTTAGTGTCAGAAAGTTTACAAATGTATATTTTCTGACAAACAGACTCTCAGAAAGTACTCAAACTGCGGTTTTTAATTTCCGCACTTTTTTTGCGACCTTAATCTCAAGCATCAGAAATGAGGAATCAATATATATATATATATATATTTGGTGTATGTAGTGATCCGAAAACATACCAAATTTAAAGGATTATTATTTTCGTCTGGAAAAGTGATAAAATTATCATTATTGTCAAATGACAATGATAATTTAAAAGTTTGAGTGAAAAAGTGACAATTTATTATGATTTCTTTTGTTTTTTCATTATCAATATATACAGTTCACATGGGTCATGGTGTTATCCCGTCGAGCGAATTTGATAATAGTTCATACATACAAGCAGTTCGAATTATACCTCCACGTTCTCCATCAAAAGACGAAAAGTTTTACTTTGTTATATTAACTATGATCAATGAATACAATAGTATATATGAATTCACCGGACACGAAGAACAAACTATAGCTCGTGAATCATACGCAACGAACGATTTAGAATACTTTTTAATTTCTCTTAATTCATCAATCAAAGCCATTTTTATCACCGGCTTCTATCCATTACCTCTAGTCTCTGTCACAAACATAATTTTTTCAGAAACACGACAAATAAATTTTGTTTTAATTCCGAACTACGATACTACATATCACATTCTGGTTTCATCCAAAAATCGAACAGTCACATATTATACTAATTCGACCGCCCCCAACATATTAGAACCCGAGAGTAACATTTTTATTCGAGAAAACACATATTGTATTATTTCATTTGAAATCGAATATAATTCACATATGTTTGAATTTACGATTGATTCTATGGAACTTCATAATGATTTCTTACGTGACCAAGACTATTTTTATGGTGCTCGCGAATCTAACACTCAAATTTCATCCTATTTTACAAGTCTCCTAAATTTTGAAAGATATTCACCAATAAGTCTAGGAATAATACCAAAAATAATGCTTCAGATGTATGCATATATGTTCACTGCGCATTCTTACCAAATCCTTATATGGATGGCCACGTCTTTGCATATGATAGTAGCTCAAAAGAACTGAATTTGAGCAAAGGATATTCTAATATTTCATTTACAATTAATTCAACTCGATATCCATCAATTTTGTTTTATTCAAATGATGAAGAAATCGATTATGTAGTATCAAGTCTGAGAGATATCACCATTAACTTATCAAAATCTGATTTTTATTTACGATTTATGGTTTTTAATGGTCTCTCATATCAAATTTCATCAAAAAATTATAAAATTAATATTATGTCTAACACTGCATTCCAAACTTTACGAGCGAATATTAACGACACATCAATAAATGGGTTCATCAAGTTTAAAACAACAGACCTTTACAAGAAACCATTTCTTAATGATTACATTAAGTTTGATAATAAATATGATTTCAAAGATAGAATTAGCGGAATCTTTTTCCCTTTAATGATAGGATTTATCCTTCTTGGATATTTACTCGCAATGCTGACAGCATTCAGAAACAAAATTTTACTCTAAGCTTTTTTTTGTTTGCTTGTTATATAAATATTTCTTTTTGTCTTTTATTTGTTATATAAGGTCGATGAAAAAACGAGCGTTTTTAAAAAACCGCCGTTTGAGAGGAAAATTGAGAGCCACGATGTATACTTTTTGACATTGTCAAAAACTTTGAAAGGACCAAAAAAATTTTAGTGTCAGAAAGTTTACAAATGTATATTTTCTGACAAACAGACTCTCAGAAAGTACTCAAACTGCGGTTTTTAATTTCCGCACTTTTTTTGCGACCTTAATCTCAAGCATCAGAAATGAGGAATCAATATATATATATATATATATTTGGTGTATGTAGTGATCCGAAAACATACCAAATTTAAAGGATTATTATTTTCGTCTGGAAAAGTGATAAAATTATCATTATTGTCAAATGACAATGATAATTTAAAAGTTTGAGTGAAAAAGTGACAATTTATTATGATTTCTTTTGTTTTTTCATTATCAATATATACAGTTCACATGGGTCATGGTGTTATCCCGTCGAGCGAATTTGATAATAGTTCATACATACAAGCAGTTCGAATTATACCTCCACGTTCTCCATCAAAAGACGAAAAGTTTTACTTTGTTATATTAACTATGATCAATGAATACAATAGTATATATGAATTCACCGGACACGAAGAACAAACTATAGCTCGTGAATCATACGCAACGAACGATTTAGAATACTTTTTAATTTCTCTTAATTCATCAATCAAAGCCATTTTTATCACCGGCTTCTATCCATTACCTCTAGTCTCTGTCACAAACATAATTTTTTCAGAAACACGACAAATAAATTTTGTTTTAATTCCGAACTACGATACTACATATCACATTCTGGTTTCATCCAAAAATCGAACAGTCACATATTATACTAATTCGACCGCCCCCAACATATTAGAACCCGAGAGTAACATTTTTATTCGAGAAAACACATATTGTATTATTTCATTTGAAATCGAATATAATTCACATATGTTTGAATTTACGATTGATTCTATGGAACTTCATAATGATTTCTTACGTGACCAAGACTATTTTTATGGTGCTCGCGAATCTAACACTCAAATTTCATCCTATTTTACAAGTCTCCTAAATTTTGAAAGATATTCACCAATAAGTCTAGGAATAATACCAACAAATAATGCTTCAGATGTATGCATATATGTTCACTGCGCATTCTTACCAAATCCTTATATGGATGGCCACGTCTTTGCATATGATAGTAGCTCAAAAGAACTGAATTTGAGCAAAGGATATTCTAATATTTCATTTACAATTAATTCAACTCGATATCCATCAATTTTGTTTTATTCAAATGATGAAGAAATCGATTATGTAGTATCAAGTCTGAGAGATATCACCATTAACTTATCAAAATCTGATTTTTATTTACGATTTATGGTTTTTAATGGTCTCTCATATCAAATTTCATCAAAAAATTATAAAATTAATATTATGTCTAACACTGCATTCCAAACTTTACGAGCGAATATTAACGACACATCAATAAATGGGTTCATCAAGTTTAAAACAACAGACCTTTACAAGAAACCATTTCTTAATGATTACATTAAGTTTGATAATAAATATGATTTCAAAGATAGAATTAGCGGAATCTTTTTCCCTTTAATGATAGGATTTATCCTTCTTGGATATTTACTCGCAATGCTGACAGCATTCAGAAACAAAATTTTACTCTAAGCTTTTTTTTGTTTGCTTGTTATATAAATATTTCTTTTTGTCTTTTATTTGTTATATAAGGTCGATGAAAAAACGAGCGTTTTTAAAAAACCGCCGTTTGAGAGGAAAATTGAGAGCCACGATGTATACTTTTTGACATTGTCAAAAACTTTGAAAGGACCAAAAAAATTTTAGTGTCAGAAAGTTTACAAATGTATATTTTCTGACAAACAGACTCTCAGAAAGTACTCAAACTGCGGTTTTTAATTTCCGCACTTTTTTTGCGACCTTAATCTCAAGCATCAGAAATGAGGAATCAATATATATATATATATATATATTTGGTGTATGTAGTGATCCGAAAACATACCAAATTTAAAGGATTATTATTTTCGTCTGGAAAAGTGATAAAATTATCATTATTGTCAAATGACAATGATAATTTAAAAGTTTGAGTGAAAAAGTGACAATTTATTATGATTTCTTTTGTTTTTTCATTATCAATATATACAGTTCACATGGGTCATGGTGTTATCCCGTCGAGCGAATTTGATAATAGTTCATACATACAAGCAGTTCGAATTATACCTCCACGTTCTCCATCAAAAGACGAAAAGTTTTACTTTGTTATATTAACTATGATCAATGAATACAATAGTATATATGAATTCACCGGACACGAAGAACAAACTATAGCTCGTGAATCATACGCAACGAACGATTTAGAATACTTTTTAATTTCTCTTAATTCATCAATCAAAGCCATTTTTATCACCGGCTTCTATCCATTACCTCTAGTCTCTGTCACAAACATAATTTTTTCAGAAACACGACAAATAAATTTTGTTTTAATTCCGAACTACGATACTACATATCACATTCTGGTTTCATCCAAAAATCGAACAGTCACATATTATACTAATTCGACCGCCCCCAACATATTAGAACCCGAGAGTAACATTTTTATTCGAGAAAACACATATTGTATTATTTCATTTGAAATCGAATATAATTCACATATGTTTGAATTTACGATTGATTCTATGGAACTTCATAATGATTTCTTACGTGACCAAGACTATTTTTATGGTGCTCGCGAATCTAACACTCAAATTTCATCCTATTTTACAAGTCTCCTAAATTTTGAAAGATATTCACCAATAAGTCTAGGAATAATACCAACAAATAATGCTTCAGATGTATGCATATATGTTCACTGCGCATTCTTACCAAATCCTTATATGGATGGCCACGTCTTTGCATATGATAGTAGCTCAAAAGAACTGAATTTGAGCAAAGGATATTCTAATATTTCATTTACAATTAATTCAACTCGATATCCATCAATTTTGTTTTATTCAAATGATGAAGAAATCGATTATGTAGTATCAAGTCTGAGAGATATCACCATTAACTTATCAAAATCTGATTTTTATTTACGATTTATGGTTTTTAATGGTCTCTCATATCAAATTTCATCAAAAAATTATAAAATTAATATTATGTCTAACACTGCATTCCAAACTTTACGAGCGAATATTAACGACACATCAATAAATGGGTTCATCAAGTTTAAAACAACAGACCTTTACAAGAAACCATTTCTTAATGATTACATTAAGTTTGATAATAAATATGATTTCAAAGATAGAATTAGCGGAATCTTTTTCCCTTTAATGATAGGATTTATCCTTCTTGGATATTTACTCGCAATGCTGACAGCATTCAGAAACAAAATTTTACTCTAAGCTTTTTTTTGTTTGCTTGTTATATAAATATTTCTTTTTGTCTTTTATTTGTTATATAAGGTCGATGAAAAAACGAGCGTTTTTAAAAAACCGCCGTTTGAGAGGAAAATTGAGAGCCACGATGTATACTTTTTGACATTGTCAAAAACTTTGAAAGGACCAAAAAAATTTTAGTGTCAGAAAGTTTACAAATGTATATTTTCTGACAAACAGACTCTCAGAAAGTACTCAAACTGCGGTTTTTAATTTCCGCACTTTTTTTGCGACCTTAATCTCAAGCATCAGAAATGAGGAATCAATATATATATATATATATATATTTGGTGTATGTAGTGATCCGAAAACATACCAAATTTAAAGGATTATTATTTTCGTCTGGAAAAGTGATAAAATTATCATTATTGTCAAATGACAATGATAATTTAAAAGTTTGAGTGAAAAAGTGACAATTTATTATGATTTCTTTTGTTTTTTCATTATCAATATATACAGTTCACATGGGTCATGGTGTTATCCCGTCGAGCGAATTTGATAATAGTTCATACATACAAGCAGTTCGAATTATACCTCCACGTTCTCCATCAAAAGACGAAAAGTTTTACTTTGTTATATTAACTATGATCAATGAATACAATAGTATATATGAATTCACCGGACACGAAGAACAAACTATAGCTCGTGAATCATACGCAACGAACGATTTAGAATACTTTTTAATTTCTCTTAATTCATCAATCAAAGCCATTTTTATCACCGGCTTCTATCCATTACCTCTAGTCTCTGTCACAAACATAATTTTTTCAGAAACACGACAAATAAATTTTGTTTTAATTCCGAACTACGATACTACATATCACATTCTGGTTTCATCCAAAAATCGAACAGTCACATATTATACTAATTCGACCGCCCCCAACATATTAGAACCCGAGAGTAACATTTTTATTCGAGAAAACACATATTGTATTATTTCATTTGAAATCGAATATAATTCACATATGTTTGAATTTACGATTGATTCTATGGAACTTCATAATGATTTCTTACGTGACCAAGACTATTTTTATGGTGCTCGCGAATCTAACACTCAAATTTCATCCTATTTTACAAGTCTCCTAAATTTTGAAAGATATTCACCAATAAGTCTAGGAATAATACCAACAAATAATGCTTCAGATGTATGCATATATGTTCACTGCGCATTCTTACCAAATCCTTATATGGATGGCCACGTCTTTGCATATGATAGTAGCTCAAAAGAACTGAATTTGAGCAAAGGATATTCTAATATTTCATTTACAATTAATTCAACTCGATATCCATCAATTTTGTTTTATTCAAATGATGAAGAAATCGATTATGTAGTATCAAGTCTGAGAGATATCACCATTAACTTATCAAAATCTGATTTTTATTTACGATTTATGGTTTTTAATGGTCTCTCATATCAAATTTCATCAAAAAATTATAAAATTAATATTATGTCTAACACTGCATTCCAAACTTTACGAGCGAATATTAACGACACATCAATAAATGGGTTCATCAAGTTTAAAACAACAGACCTTTACAAGAAACCATTTCTTAATGATTACATTAAGTTTGATAATAAATATGATTTCAAAGATAGAATTAGCGGAATCTTTTTCCCTTTAATGATAGGATTTATCCTTCTTGGATATTTACTCGCAATGCTGACAGCATTCAGAAACAAAATTTTACTCTAAGCTTTTTTTTGTTTGCTTGTTATATAAATATTTCTTTTTGTCTTTTATTTGTTATATAAGGTCGATGAAAAAACGAGCGTTTTTAAAAAACCGCCGTTTGAGAGGAAAATTGAGAGCCACGATGTATACTTTTTGACATTGTCAAAAACTTTGAAAGGACCAAAAAAATTTTAGTGTCAGAAAGTTTACAAATGTATATTTTCTGACAAACAGACTCTCAGAAAGTACTCAAACTGCGGTTTTTAATTTCCGCACTTTTTTTGCGACCTTAATCTCAAGCATCAGAAATGAGGAATCAATATATATATATATATATATATTTGGTGTATGTAGTGATCCGAAAACATACCAAATTTAAAGGATTATTATTTTCGTCTGGAAAAGTGATAAAATTATCATTATTGTCAAATGACAATGATAATTTAAAAGTTTGAGTGAAAAAGTGACAATTTATTATGATTTCTTTTGTTTTTTCATTATCAATATATACAGTTCACATGGGTCATGGTGTTATCCCGTCGAGCGAATTTGATAATAGTTCATACATACAAGCAGTTCGAATTATACCTCCACGTTCTCCATCAAAAGACGAAAAGTTTTACTTTGTTATATTAACTATGATCAATGAATACAATAGTATATATGAATTCACCGGACACGAAGAACAAACTATAGCTCGTGAATCATACGCAACGAACGATTTAGAATACTTTTTAATTTCTCTTAATTCATCAATCAAAGCCATTTTTATCACCGGCTTCTATCCATTACCTCTAGTCTCTGTCACAAACATAATTTTTTCAGAAACACGACAAATAAATTTTGTTTTAATTCCGAACTACGATACTACATATCACATTCTGGTTTCATCCAAAAATCGAACAGTCACATATTATACTAATTCGACCGCCCCCAACATATTAGAACCGAGAGTAACATTTTTATTCGAGAAAACACATATGTATTATTTCATTTGAAATCGAATATAATTCACATATGTTTGAATTTACGATTGATTCTATGGAACTTCATAATGATTTCTTACGTGACCAAGACTATTTTTATGGTGCTCGCGAATCTAACACTCAAATTTCATCCTATTTTACAAGTCTCCTAAATTTTGAAAGATATTCACCAATAAGTCTAGGAATAATACCAACAAATAATGCTTCAGATGTATGCATATATGTTCACTGCGCATTCTTACCAAATCCTTATATGGATGGCCACGTCTTTGCATATGATAGTAGCTCAAAAGAACTGAATTTGAGCAAAGGATATTCTAATATTTCATTTACAATTAATTCAACTCGATATCCATCAATTTTGTTTTATTCAAATGATGAAGAAATCGATTATGTAGTATCAAGTCTGAGAGATATCACCATTAACTTATCAAAATCTGATTTTTATTTACGATTTATGGTTTTTAATGGTCTCTCATATCAAATTTCATCAAAAAATTATAAAATTAATATTATGTCTAACACTGCATTCCAAACTTTACGAGCGAATATTAACGACACATCAATAAATGGGTTCATCAAGTTTAAAACAACAGACCTTTACAAGAAACCATTTCTTAATGATTACATTAAGTTTGATAATAAATATGATTTCAAAGATAGAATTAGCGGAATCTTTTTCCCTTTAATGATAGGATTTATCCTTCTTGGATATTTACTCGCAATGCTGACAGCATTCAGAAACAAAATTTTACTCTAAGCTTTTTTTTGTTTGCTTGTTATATAAATATTTCTTTTTGTCTTTTATTTGTTATATAAGGTCGATGAAAAAACGAGCGTTTTTAAAAAACCGCCGTTTGAGAGGAAAATTGAGAGCCACGATGTATACTTTTTGACATTGTCAAAAACTTTGAAAGGACCAAAAAAATTTTAGTGTCAGAAAGTTTACAAATGTATATTTTCTGACAAACAGACTCTCAGAAAGTACTCAAACTGCGGTTTTTAATTTCCGCACTTTTTTTGCGACCTTAATCTCAAGCATCAGAAATGAGGAATCAATATATATATATATATATATATTTGGTGTATGTAGTGATCCGAAAACATACCAAATTTAAAGGATTATTATTTTCGTCTGGAAAAGTGATAAAATTATCATTATTGTCAAATGACAATGATAATTTAAAAGTTTGAGTGAAAAAGTGACAATTTATTATGATTTCTTTTGTTTTTTCATTATCAATATATACAGTTCACATGGGTCATGGTGTTATCCCGTCGAGCGAATTTGATAATAGTTCATACATACAAGCAGTTCGAATTATACCTCCACGTTCTCCATCAAAAGACGAAAAGTTTTACTTTGTTATATTAACTATGATCAATGAATACAATAGTATATATGAATTCACCGGACACGAAGAACAAACTATAGCTCGTGAATCATACGCAACGAACGATTTAGAATACTTTTTAATTTCTCTTAATTCATCAATCAAAGCCATTTTTATCACCGGCTTCTATCCATTACCTCTAGTCTCTGTCACAAACATAATTTTTTCAGAAACACGACAAATAAATTTTGTTTTAATTCCGAACTACGATACTACATATCACATTCTGGTTTCATCCAAAAATCGAACAGTCACATATTATACTAATTCGACCGCCCCCAACATATTAGAACCCGAGAGTAACATTTTTATTCGAGAAAACACATATTGTATTATTTCATTTGAAATCGAATATAATTCACATATGTTTGAATTTACGATTGATTCTATGGAACTTCATAATGATTTCTTACGTGACCAAGACTATTTTTATGGTGCTCGCGAATCTAACACTCAAATTTCATCCTATTTTACAAGTCTCCTAAATTTTGAAAGATATTCACCAATAAGTCTAGGAATAATACCAACAAATAATGCTTCAGATGTATGCATATATGTTCACTGCGCATTCTTACCAAATCCTTATATGGATGGCCACGTCTTTGCATATGATAGTAGCTCAAAAGAACTGAATTTGAGCAAAGGATATTCTAATATTTCATTTACAATTAATTCAACTCGATATCCATCAATTTTGTTTTATTCAAATGATGAAGAAATCGATTATGTAGTATCAAGTCTGAGAGATATCACCATTAACTTATCAAAATCTGATTTTTATTTACGATTTATGGTTTTTAATGGTCTCTCATATCAAATTTCATCAAAAAATTATAAAATTAATATTATGTCTAACACTGCATTCCAAACTTTACGAGCGAATATTAACGACACATCAATAAATGGGTTCATCAAGTTTAAAACAACAGACCTTTACAAGAAACCATTTCTTAATGATTACATTAAGTTTGATAATAAATATGATTTCAAAGATAGAATTAGCGGAATCTTTTTCCCTTTAATGATAGGATTTATCCTTCTTGGATATTTACTCGCAATGCTGACAGCATTCAGAAACAAAATTTTACTCTAAGCTTTTTTTTGTTTGCTTGTTATATAAATATTTCTTTTTGTCTTTTATTTGTTATATAAGGTCGATGAAAAAACGAGCGTTTTTAAAAAACCGCCGTTTGAGAGGAAAATTGAGAGCCACGATGTATACTTTTTGACATTGTCAAAAACTTTGAAAGGACCAAAAAAATTTTAGTGTCAGAAAGTTTACAAATGTATATTTTCTGACAAACAGACTCTCAGAAAGTACTCAAACTGCGGTTTTTAATTTCCGCACTTTTTTGCGACCTTAATCTCAAGCATCAGAAATGAGGAATCAATATATATATATATATATATATTTGGTGTATGTAGTGATCCGAAAACATACCAAATTTAAAGGATTATTATTTTCGTCTGGAAAAGTGATAAAATTATCATTATTGTCAAATGACAATGATAATTTAAAAGTTTGGGTGAAAAAGTGACAATTTATTATGATTTCTTTTGTTTTTTCATTATCAATATATACAGTTCACATGGGTCATGGTGTTATCCCGTCGAGCGAATTTGATAATAGTTCATACATACAAGCAGTTCGAATTATACCTCCACGTTCTCCATCAAAAGACGAAAAGTTTTACTTTGTTATATTAACTATGATCAATGAATACAATAGTATATATGAATTCACCGGACACGAAGAACAAACTATAGCTCGTGAATCATACGCAACGAACGATTTAGAATACTTTTTAATTTCTCTTAATTCATCAATCAAAGCCATTTTTATCACCGGCTTCTATCCATTACCTCTAGTCTCTGTCACAAACATAATTTTTTCAGAAACACGACAAATAAATTTTGTTTTAATTCCGAACTACGATACTACATATCACATTCTGGTTTCATCCAAAAATCGAACAGTCACATATTATACTAATTCGACCGCCCCCAACATATTAGAACCCGAGAGTAACATTTTTATTCGAGAAAACACATATTGTATTATTTCATTTGAAATCGAATATAATTCACATATGTTTGAATTTACGATTGATTCTATGGAACTTCATAATGATTTCTTACGTGACCAAGACTATTTTTATGGTGCTCGCGAATCTAACACTCAAATTTCATCCTATTTTACAAGTCTCCTAAATTTTGAAAGATATTCACCAATAAGTCTAGGAATAATACCAACAAATAATGCTTCAGATGTATGCATATATGTTCACTGCGCATTCTTACCAAATCCTTATATGGATGGCCACGTCTTTGCATATGATAGTAGCTCAAAAGAACTGAATTTGAGCAAAGGATATTCTAATATTTCATTTACAATTAATTCAACTCGATATCCATCAATTTTGTTTTATTTAGATAATGGAAATTTCGATTTCGTAGTTCCAGGCCTTAAAAATATTAGTATCAATTCATCAATCTTAACTCCTGTTTTTCGATTATTGATATTAAATACTATTGACGTTACATTATCATTAAATAATTATAAATTTATATATAATTCAATCTCCAAGTTCCTACCTGAATATGCGATTAAAGACATTTCAAAAGAGGGATCAATAGAGATTACAACAACAGGGCTTTACAAAAAGCCATTTCTTTATGATTATCTTCATTTTGATGTTGAACATTCATATGAAGATAATAAAAAGTTTTTATACACCATCTTTTTCCCTGTAATGATAGGTTTTATCCTTATAAGCTATTTGACTGCAATGTGTACAGCATGCAAAATTAAATTTGCAGTGTAAATTTATTGTTTGTTATATAAAATAAATTGATGTTATTATCTCTTTCCTAATGCTCTTATAATAGCGGAAAAGTTAATTCTCAAACAAACTAGAAAGCAAATATATGTAGTTCATTTGTTGCATCTCAAGAATATTTGGAAATCGGGAGAATTATTATTATGAAACAAAGTTTTTAAATGGTGTAATAGATAATTACACACATCATGATTTCAGATCCAAACATATAATATCTCTAAAAACTTCAATAAATTCAAACAATTATCTGAGATTCTATAATTGCTTGCATTAAATGTATCATATGATCAGCAGTACCTAAGTGACGATAAAATCTTAGTACTAATGATTCTCATGCTTTTACCAAAATTTGGAAAAGTCTAAAAAATTCTAATGTCACTTTTCAAATACATTGTAATAATAAAATATTGTTAATTTCAGAAATCAGTGCTATTGGTGTAAGAAAATTTTTTGAAAATACGTTATTTCTCACAATTTTTGAAAATCTCTGTTTAGATGTTGACTCGATTCAAGCCTGCGATATTACAACCGCAGGTCCAAAAAAACAATCTTGCGTCAACATGCAGCAAAGTTTCTAGTAATGTTCAAAAACATATTGAACCAGAGTATGATGTTGCAGAAATTCAAGAAAAAATGACAGATCAAGTCATGGAAATATGTGAACTCAGAAAAAAGATCAACAGTGAGAAACTAAAGAGAATTGCACTTGAAAAACAGATATCAGAAATGAAAGAATTCATCGAAGAATATGGCTTAAAAGATTTTGTACAAAACAATCCAGATTGTATTGAATTTCTTGATGGAGTCAAGGATTTAAACGAATTTACCACACAAATTGCCAAACTTAACAATCAAGTTTTCGGAAAATCCAAAAGATTTTATAAAGAAGGTAATGCAATCAAAACAAAGGATGATACACCTATTATATTAGAACTCCTTCATAAAGGATTTAAGGTAAATGATGGACCCTTCCGTAAATATTCCAATCCTTTGAATGCAAAGTTTTTAGCTACACTCAACAAAGGAATATATGCACCAGAACTATATGACTATGGCGAAGAAATGAGAGTTATCGAAGTTGTTTCTTCAATTAACCTTCCAGATACTTTTATTTCTTCTGGAAGAAAAATTAAAAGCCAAGACGACGATAATGTTTTCGAACCACTCCCTGACCCTAATCCTATTGGTGATGGACCTGGAACAATTAAATTGAGATTTCCGTCTGGCGCCGAACAGATTATTAAAGTTACTAAAGAAACAACCATCAGAGAGATCATTAGTCTTCTTAACTCAACAATTGGCTTTACCAATTATTCACTTACAACAACAATGTCAAATACTTTGTTAGATGAAGATGTTTGTATTAATGATATTCATTTATACCCACGAGGAATACTACTTGCTGTTTATCATTCCCATGAATAAATTTCTTGTTTGTATTTTTTTGAATTAAATTTATTTTTCTTGTTTTTTTGCTGAAAATAATATCATTTATCAACACAAACTAAGACATAACTTATTGGACGCTGAATCAAAAGAAAAAAATTGTAATAATTTTTCGGATTTCTTGAATTTTGTTATAGAGTTAAAAAAAAGATAGTAAATGTACAAAAACATCCTATTAATAATATATAATTTACAAAACAGTATTAATTAACAAACGTGGTTTGGATTTACGCTTCTTATCTTCTCTGAGATGAAGCTGATCTAAGAATCCGGGGTTAACACTCACCTCTGGACGCTTGGATTGAATAAGAGAGAGTGCGTTATCTATTGAAATCTTCTTTTCATCTGACATGTATGCGGCAACCAGGGCTGGAGAACGGCAATAACCCATTCTACAATGAACAAGAACAATTCCACCCTCATCACGGGCCTTCTTGAGGTATGTTAATGCTTCCCAAAATTCGTTCGGTATTTCTTCAAAGTCGTTATCGTTCATTTTAACTGTAAAGTAGTTGAATGTTTCTGGGAAGTGGTTCTTAGATGTGTTACCGGATAAGTTAATAATATGAGTAATATGATTGTCAAGAAGTGCTTGTTTATTGGCAGCAGCACGTTCGCTTCCGACAAAAACGCCTTCGTCAACAAGATTCATTTCATCAGGGAATCTCTCTTCAATATTACCCTGGTTTGTGATTACTGGAAGAACAAAGGTTGCATTCATGCCAACTTGATGAGATCTTCTTGAGAAGAGATTAACGTTTGCACCACACATCTGACCAGCAGTTCTGAGTGGGGAAGATGCGCGGCAACGCTGAGTAGGGCTAGGTGGCTTTAAAGCAAACTTGAGGGAATTAATTCCACCTAAGTCTGAAAATATAGATGAAGGAGCAACTGCAGCATTGCAGGTATAATTCTGCAATGGGGCCTTTCTTAAATAAGTCATTAGCTCATTTATTGTAGTGGATGGAAGTTTGTTGGAAGCAAACATCCAAACATATTGGGTCTGTAACTTAAAATTCTGTATTCTAAAATGTTGATGGAATAGTCTCATTGTGTCTGTAAGAGACCTGTTAGAAACCGGCGTTGAAACGATTGGTGCATCTGATTGCTGAGTAGGTTCTAAGCATACAAGTGGCTTTGTTGTAAAGGCTAAAGGATTCTCTATAAATTCTGTGAAAGGAACTGGTTGTAACTGTTCATTCTCATACTGAAGGAGCAAAATTGACTTAGCGCCATCTGCTTTACTATCCAAATATGAGTCAACACTTAAGCCAATGCCCATTATACCAAATTTTCTGGTTTAAAAACGAATATTGTCAAATTTTTTAATAACGATCTAAATTGAAAATCTAAAGCGAATAAAACGATTTATTATATAATAACAGGCAATACAATATTATTGCAAACGTTATTGGTTTCTCAGAAAATTTTGACAAAAATTTTAACCAAAGAGGTAGGGCAACGATAGAAAATTTTTGGAAAAAAAGTTCGGAGATCTTAAACGTATCATATTCCCTGCATGGTTTGGTATCTTCCGCCATGCGTTGTGCCAAACATATTGACACTTTCCAATAATTAATTTATGGTATGAGTCACAGAGTTAGATTATAAAAAGAAAGTAAATAATTGCAATTAGAAATCATATATGTCGGAAATCAAATGTTGATGAGCAGAAACCTTTTACTCATCATAAAAGAGATAAATCACTAAAGATTTGTATACATTAAAATTTGATATTTGGTGCTCGAAAACTGTCTGATGGGACTCCTCCAAAATGAACCAATCTATCGCTGAGGACCAAATTAGATGATGTGAATGGTGTATTCTCTAATTCTAACTTAGGAAGAATGGGAACAAAACGAATGACGACAACAACATGTCAAACATAGATTAAATATCTATGAATCAATAAAGTATATGTGCATTGAAGGTGATAACGATCACTTGAGGCTTATAACTCTTTGACTAAATTATGCAATAATTAAATATAATCATTTTTATATTTTTATACTGATAGTAATTAATATACTATCCTGCTTAATAAATGGTATGATCAAATTTGTTTGAAAATTTAATTATGTATATGAAACTATGTCTTCTATATAAAAATCAAAATTTTCGGACGAACCTAGATTGAACCTTTATGAAAATCTATCATTTTTGTTAATTGAGTTAATATGAATCTTTTACATATGTATATATAGCATTGATAGCTTATATAATCATGGTTTATTCCATATTAACATATTTTTTCAGTTAAATTTGTTAATAATATCATGTAACAAATTAATTCAAGATTAGAATGTCTACAAAATGCTAACAAATAAGAACAAAATACGATTTCTCGACTTAAATTTTAATATGGAGTAGTTTTTCGTTTAAATCTAATTAAAAATGAATAAAAACTTATCTTGTACTATTTTCATTCAAAGATTTTAATAATGTAAATCATGCATTTTCATAATTCAGTACAGTTCTTTTTAGAATTAAAGTTGATGAGGATGATATTTGTGATTTAAAATAATTTGTTAATGTTCACCTTTTATTCATCACCTTGTGGTATGCCCTAAAGCAATAGCATTATCAATTCTGCTGAATTGATCAACTCAAAATTCCAAAAAAAATTCAAAATTTCAAAAATGAAATTAAACAATTTGAATTTTCACATGAAAAAATCAATTTCAAAAAAAAATTTGGAAAATCAAAGTATTTGATAATTAGTCAAATAATCAATTTACATCGTTTTTACTCATAAAAAACAACTAATTTTTGATTTTGATATCATATTTGATAAATACTCATTCCAGAGTTGACGTAATGTATTAATTATTGTTAGAGATATTGCTTTCGCAGCAAAATTCTTATTTCATGAAAGAAAAAAAAAAATGATTTTTTTCCAACAAAAACACGTAAACAGATGAATGGAAACGTACTATATTTTCATAAATGTAGTAATCAGCGTGTCAGCTTTTGTTTATCATGTTCGAGTCAAAATGTATTAACTTGTAATAAGAAATATTCGAAGATTATATGAAGTATTGAGCATTCTTTGTAGAAATATTTGTAATTCATTACTAACATATATAATAAAGTTGTTTTTTTTCCCTTATTGCAATAATTTTGTCTGATTTTAATAACTTTTCATGTATACGAGTTGTGTGAATATGCATCATAATATGCGTAAATATACTTATTTGCGACGAATAATGTGGTTGCATAATGGAGGTGCTAAATTTTGATTTTTAATATGGGGCTTTGGTATGTATAATCATGTTCTTATCTCAACGTAGGAGTATTGGTGCAATATGATTAAAATTTACGAGGTTGATCTTAAATTGAATAATTCTGGAGTATAAATCACAATGCAGCTAATTCTATGTTAAAGATAGATACAGATTGTAGTAATCAATTAGGGAGTACAAATTCATTCTTTCATTTCTGTCGTATTGAGCAGAAAGGAAGAGATCATAACCCTAGGAAAAAAAGCCCAAATTTGTCACTTTTCATAGTACGTTAAACTCAATTCGCTCGGCGAATGCCGAGCACACGTACTCATCATTCAACATAATATTCTCATTCTTTGGTTATTATAGTGCCAGACAACACAAGATTTCAAAGAATTACTTGAGTTTTCAATTAATCTTAATCCGATTTTAGATTTATCGAGAACTCCATCATCACAATCACATACTTCAGTGCGGTAACTACAATTTTCCATATACAGAAGGAAGTTCTTTTCGAACAACTCATTTGGAGTCTGTTTTGGAAAGAACTTCTTTCTGTCCGACTTAATTTCATAGTTCCTGATCAACCAAAAGACAGAAACCACACACTATCTACTTAGGAAAGGAGTTCTTTCTAAATCTTCCTTAAATTGAGATTTTACGAGAGATAACCCTTCTATTGCACTTAAAAATGAACATTTTGATATCTTTAGTATCACACATGGTCATATATAGTATTTCATCTACATGAATACATTCATCTTTCGAAGTCTCTCATTAAATGGGAGGCTTCGAAAGATGAATCGTTTTATTCATACAACTTTAAATCTCGAACACATTTAGAGAGTGAGTATATCATTTTATTCTGTTTTGAGTTTATTCTGATTCAAAATTGCAGTGAAAACAGAAGTTCACACATCATATCTGAATGTGAGCTCATCTATACTTATACGATCTCAATACCTCCACTCTAAGCATAAGAGGTGAAGTTATATAAAAATTATCAGATGCGTTGAAGTCTCAAAAGTATTGCCTGAATGCTTGTTTCATATTTGTCCAAGTAGTTTCAATGAATAAATGTATTGTTTTATATAATTTCGATTTATTTTTAGAAAATATTCAATATAACCTTTATTGTGTTATTTACATCTCATAAATTCTCTGTCTAAATCATATAAAAGCGCGTTTTACCCCTATGAATCAAGAAATTCATTCAATATTCATGGTATATTTATTAAATTTATACGATTTACTAATAATCAATATTATATCCTCATAAATAGCAATATATTTTGGTAATCTATGATAATCATATACAATATTTGAAATCAAATTTTCATTAGTTTAGGTTCCTTGTTAATAGTAAACCATTATATTTATTACTAATAATAAAATCTATGTGTCGTATTGAAATTCAATAAAATTACTTATTCGGTCCAAAAAAACAAATTAGATAAAATTTTTCTTTTTTTATGTAATTTTTGTTTTTCATTTTTCTCAAGATCCTAAGTTATGTTCTAACTTTTGACATCATATCCTATCATGCTAGGCTATATATTATAGCATATCCAAAAGGCAAGGAAATCTATCAGAGAAGCCTTTTTGACCTATCGTTGCCCTACCTCTTTAACCAATCATCCGAAAATCTATTAAATTATTATTCGCTAACAAAAAGGTAGATTTGCTGATAAGATATGAAATTTATTCTCAAAATTCACAGAAATTTCGTAAAATCTTGTTTCTAAAAGATTGAATATAACAGCAGTATAATGAAAAATAACTTGCTTTTTAAAATTTCGTTTACTATTCAATAATTTGTTATCAATACTTTCTTCTGCTTTGAATTTTAAAGTTTTCAAGTGTACCAAATAAATAGGAACATATGATAGATATTAATAGATAAATTTAAACGTCTAAATTTATCCAAAATTCAATATTTGAGTAATCTGAGAAATAAATTTTACGTTTACGTTAACAGGAATAGATAATTCACTCTGTTTATCTGTTATATTGAAAGTTTTTACAAACAATTCAGTTTATAATTTATAATTTTCAAAGATTTCATAAAACATATATATTTCAATGCTTTTCAGCTTTCAAATATTACTCTTTCAATTAAACATATCCAACTATATTACTGGAATATGACAAATGAGATATGGAACATGCATTTCAGTAATTAATGAAGATTTGTTATGTTCATAAAGAATCAATCTTTTGGGTCATATTCTCCATAAACATTCAAACAGTAGAATATTATACGCTACTGCTTATTTATATATTTAAGACAGAAAACTGTCCATTAGTAAAGTTCAAATTCATGAATAAATCATATGAATTTAATACAATCAAGGCCTACATAAAAATAATTCATTATACAAAACATTGTATTTCAAGCTTTCATTTGGAATATCAAATTAACAAAAAAGTTTTTGAAATGCAGCTTCTTTCAAAATATCTTTCCATCTAGTATTTTAATATTTATATCAACCAAGTGAAAACTCAAAATTAATTTAAATTTTGTTTATTCGAGCTACTTATAAGGTTTTAATATCATGGTTCATTGGTAAAAGATTGCAGCATATTTAAATATATGGAATATAATCTAGCATTGAGATTGAAGAGAAAAATCATATCAATTCTTCATTTCTGATATCATCTAAAGCAAAGCAAGTACAAAATTTATCATCCACATTTGAAGGATATGAAATGTTCACAATCAAAATTTCGAATAATGCTTTCCGAAACATAGGCAACATTAAATTTTTGAAGAAGATGAGTTTATTAATATAGATTTATTAGAATATATTTTAAGCAGTTAAAAAAATTGAGCGCCTTTGAAAAATTAAGAGCCCTTCAATTTGTGAAATGAACAAAAGCGCAAAAAAATTTAAGAAAAATACACTTCATACATTTACAATAGAAAAATCAGCAAAATTCAAGGATGATTGAAGTTAAGTTAAATTTGGCAAACGTGTCAAATTGATCATAAATGGCAAAAGGCTCTGGTTCAGGTACTGCTGTTGTTGCAACAACAACATCTATTGGTGGCGGTATGTTCTCAACAGGTAAGAAGGCTAAACAGCATGTTGACATCGATTGCACTCCAGAGGCTGCACTTTTTGTTACTGCAGGTCTTATTGGCATAACACTCTTACTTCATCTTTTATCCCGCCTCTTGAAATAAAGATACATGCAAGAAATTTCAAGAAAATGCGTCTTCGATTATCCCAATACTTTCCATGAAGGCCAGATACTAATTCTTTTATTAAATAAAGGATATTGTTAATAATAATACTAGTAATGGCTTGTTGTTAGCCAATTTTTTTATAAATTATTTTGTCACGATAATTGCAGCAAATACAAAATTGATTAATCTAATCAGCTTTCTTAGATAAATAATGTATGATAATGCAACCAGTTAGATTTAAAAAATGCTCTAATTTTTTTTATAATTATTTTTTAAGATAAATACAAACAAATTAAAGGGGATCTGGTGGTATAAGCGATTGGGCTTCAGCATCAGATTGAATATCTTCACTAGTATCGGATTCATCATCCGGGCTTGCGCAACAATCTAAACCAAACCAATACTGCCCAACTATGGAAGTTCTTGTAATCTTTGGATATGTTTCAGTAAGTCCGAGGATCATAAAAACAATTGCAGGTATTCCAACAATTGTAGAAATCAGCATATAAACCGAACGAATAAGCATATCAAATCTTCCAATAAGAGCACCAAACATAAATGAGATCGCAATAATAAGTGGAACTGATGACCAGTACATAAATAGAAAACCTTCGTTATGTGCAGCGAGTTGACTTTGAGTTAAACATTCTAATTCAACAACAGTATCGTTTTTTACACCCATTTCTTCAAGTGTACTGTCTTCATAAAGAATGTTATTATATTTTAAAAGAAATTTATGCTGCCTGCACTCACGAGGAAGAAATTTATTAAGCTCGTTTATTAGTTGCTTTGCTGTTTTGGTAATTTCTTGATCTGTAAGTAATCTTTGGCCAACGGCGTAAGTACCACTTTTATATGGATTTGGAATTGAGTATGAAATGATAAATCTTCGCTTTGTAGCAGAATATTGACTAAGAGTCAATTCATGTGGTGGTGGTAAAGTCATGTTTTGAAGGATTGTAGCATCATAAGCTGGTTTTCTATGCATTTTTGAATTTTTTTTTGAGAAAGGGACAGACTAGCCCATTGTCACTTTTTAATTTAGCAAATGAACGCTTATGGAGTGGAGTTTTTGGGTAAATCTGATTTGCTTATAAATGAAATAAAATCAAAAGAAACCATATTGGCATTATATTAAAAAAAAAAAAAAAAAAAAAGGTAGTGGGGCTTCCAGGCACTTCGTGCCTTCTAGCCCTGAAGATGTTTAGTATAAATGAAGTTTTTATTCGGAGGGCTTCCAGGCGCGTTGCGCCCTCTAGCCCACATAAATGAAGTTTTTATTCGGAGGTCTTCCAGGAGCTTTTCACAAATTATATATGTTTTCATGTTTTGTCAAGACTTCTTCGTAAATGTTTTGTCAAGACTTCTTCGTAAATGTTTTGTCAAGACTTCTTCGTAAAATCAGACAAAAATATATTTTAGGGTAGAAGGGTATATCTAACCTCTTTTCTAACCTCTTTTCTACCCTCTTGAATTTTCATGAAATTTACACCAAAAATATATTTAGGGTAGAAGGGTATATCTAACCTCTTTTCTAACCTCTTGAATTTTCATGAAATTTACACCAAAAATATATTTTAGGGTAAAGGGTATATCTAACCTCTTTTCTAACCTCTTTTCTACCCTCTTGAATTTTCATGAAATTTACACCAAAAATATATTTTAGGGTAGAAGGGTATATCTAACCTCTTTTCTAACCTCTTTTCTACCCTCTTGAATTTTCATGAAATTTACACCAAAAATATACTACTAGGGTCATTTACGAAGAAATCTCAACAAAGTCTTTACGATGAAGTCTTGACAAAGTCTTTACGAAGAAGTCTTAACAAAGTCTTTACGAAGAAGTCTTAACAAAGTCTTTACGAAGAAATTCATGAAAATTCAAGAGGGTAGAAAAGAGGTTAGAAAAGAGGTTAGATATACCCTTCTACCCTAAAATATATTTTTGGGTCATTTACACTCATTTACGAAGAAATCTCAACAAAGTCTTTACGAAGAAGTCTTAACAAAGTCTTTACGAAGAAGTCTCAACAAAGTCTTTACGAAGAAATTCATGAAAATTCAAGAGGGTAGAAATGAGGTTAGAAAAGAGGTTAGATATACCCTTCTACCCTAAAATATATTTTTGGGTCATTTACACTCATTTACGAAGAAATCTCAACAAAGTCTTTACGAAGAAGTCACAATAAAACATCTGTCAAAACCGTTTTTACTTCACTTAAAATGCCACGTAAGCTACGTAAGAATATACGTAAGAGAAGAGAGCATTGAAACATCCAATAGTAAAACTAACACCACAACAACAGTTGCAACAACAAATTATGAATGACCCCACTATGTTGCAACAAATGTCAAGCAACCCTATGCTTTTAAACCGAGTTATTGGTGCACAGAGTGGAGGTTTAAGAGCGGCACTTTTAGCGAAAATGGCAGGCTATGGTGGAGCTGCAGACGGAACAGCATATAACCCTCAAAGTCAAATGAATTTGAGTTCACTCAAAAATCAAATAACAGATGTCAAAAAGTCAAACATAGACATACAGAAGCAAATAAGTGAAAACGAAAAGAAACTAGAATATGACAGACACACAAAGAAACTCAATGAGTTAAACGTAGAGAAAAAGAAGAAGAAAACAACTGAAAGAACTAAGTACAGAGGAATATGCAAAAAAAGTGTCAGAAAAAGCAGCAGAAGTAGCAAAAATGGAACAAGATGTTGTAAAATTTGAAAAACCATACTACTCAATATAAAGTACTGAAAGATGAAGAGATAAAACAAAAAGCCCTGAAGACATATATGGATAGCGATGAGTATAAAAAAGAAGTTGAAGCAAATGTAAAGGCAGAAAAACTTTTACAGTTGCAAAACCAAACCGTACAGTATGAAAACTTAGCACAAGAAAGTAAAAATAACGACGCAGCCATGCAAAAGGCAATGAAAAGCGCAGAATATATAAAAGCTAATAATGACTGGTTAGATGCCCAAGCCAACGCTAAAGCAGCCCAGCTTATAGGGTCAATAAGGACAAAAATACAAGCGGATGAAGACAGTTCAAATGAACTTTAACAAATGCTGACTTTAAGAACGCTTTCGAAGCTCTTCATAGTAAGGTGAAACAATGAACGACTTCTCATCTGGAAAGAAACTGAAGTCTGAAGGTTTCGACAAAGAGTTAAGAGAAGTAGCACAAAATATGACGAAAATAACAGATGCAGCAACGAGACAGGCAGTTCAAAGTGCCTATGACGCCGTTAGAGCAACTGTTGTGGAAAGTCAAGAAAAAGAGTTACAACAGACCAAAACAGACCTAGTAAATGCTTTCTTAAGAACGAAAAGTCAGGTAGGACATTACGCTGCAGATGGAACATATGTGCCAGCTGGTGGAACTTATATACCACCAAACCCTCCAAGAGAAGCACCTGCACCAGGACTACCTAGAACATTTACATCGTCACATGGACACAGACACAGGCATGCACCAAAACCAACACAACAACCAACACAACAACCAACACAACAACCAGCACAACAACCACCTCCACAACCAGCACAACAACCAACAGTTCAAAACCCTGCACAACAACAACCACAAACAGAGCAAGGACATAAAAGAAGTAGAGAACAAGGAAACCAAGAATTCTTAAAAATGCTTAAAGAAGAGTGTGGTTTCCCAGATACTGTTGACTTTAGTGACAGATATAAAGAAGCTATTGGAAAGTTCAAGGATGGAAATACTGACCCGAACCTATTTAGCTTTATGGCTCAGCACCAAAACGGATATAATCTCAAACCTGGAAAATACAAGCTCGCTAAGGGATATGATTTAATAGCATATCATCCAAATGACATGGATGAATTTACTCCGAGATATTTGATGTCAGAGCTAAATGACAATTCAACTTTCGTCATGAAACGCGTAAAAAATAGAGACGGAACGAAAGAACAAAAGCTTATGAATGCGGATGACGTAGATAGGGAAATTGTTAAAAACGGTCTCGGAATATATGAAATGCAGCAGATGAGGTACAAGAAACTCCACAGGAAGAACTAGTTCAGATACAACCAGACATGGAAGAAATAGTTCAGCAACAACAGCTAGAAGAGCCTGAAGGAAACGAACAAGTCCCTCCTTTGGAAACTAACTTCACAGAACTAGATGACGATTTGGAACAGCCGAAAAATCTTGACCCTCAACAAGAGCATGAGGTGAATATGGAATCTTTCCAAGAGTCTAAGAAAGATTCGGCTGACATAGTAGAAGAATATCGAAAAATGTTTGCCGACATACAAAAGACTCCAACACCAGATGAAAATTCAGCATAGAATGGAAGAACTGAAAAAAAATGTACACAAATACAACAACCCTTTTTACTTACGAGCATTTAACGTTCAATCTTCGGATGAACTCGGTGAAAATAAAAGTTAAATTTCAAGAAAACATATAGAAATGAAACATTGTTTAAAGTTCATTCAGAACCTAACCAAGATGGAACAAACCTACTTTTGTTTGCAGACGAATGGAACTACAATGAGATGGGGTCATAAAGCTAACCCGGAAGGTGGTTCATAAACTTACAACCACAATTCCAAGAAGTTGTAGACGCAATGGAAGTGAATGGTGAACCAGATATAGCTGGTATTTTAAGCGCGGCTTTAATGCCATTGAAAGATATGAAAGATGCAGATATTTTGAACCAGTATGAAATGAACATGGCTGATGGAAATATAACACCTGACGTTCTAGAACATTTATCTCAAAGAACTACACAGAACCATAAAGATGGTATATTTGGTGAAGAGTTTAGAAAGAAAGTTAGGGAGATAGAAGGAAGAGAACCTATTGTACATGACCTTGCAAACGAAAGTTTGCAAAATGTCATAAAAACTTACTTTGCAGACAATGAACCGAGAAGGGATGAATATTTAAGAAAACTCAATGGACAGTACCAAATGAAATGTTAGTATTGAAAAACATGTTCCTTGACAAAATAAAACCAACTACAGAAATAAACGACGCAAGACTGAAAGATTGGGTAGAAGCTTTCCCATTCACAAAAGATATAGTTGGTAACATGGAAAGAAAACCAGAATGGCTACAAAAACATATATTTGGAAACGAGCTTATTCCATATGGACAGGCACTGTTTGAAGAGCTTGAACCGGAAAACTCAGGACAGAGTCATGCAAACAATAAGCGAAGACTCAAATACAGACTATGACAAACTCTTTTCTAGGATATAGGTTACCTGAGATGGGCGACCAGAGCCAAAGGCAAAAAGGACATGGGAAATTTGCAACATACTAGATGAACATAATGCAAAGATGCAACAACTTCAAGCAGAGGGCAATGAAGGAAAAAGAAGAGTTAAAAACTCAGTCAGGAAGAAAGTAAAGCTTGGTCCACGTGGGTTCTATTATGACATATAAATCCAACTATTCTATATTTTTACTCATATGAAATGTACGCCGCTCAGAATATAACGCCAACAGTTTTGGATGCCATGAACGGAAATGTTTCCGAATGGTATAACGAATGCGACAATGCCATTAGAAGGTCAGAAATAGTTCCTGGAACTTACGAATATACAACTGCTGTTTCTTATGGAAACGTAGGTGAGTTTGGAGAAGGTTCTTCAACAACAGTAGATATTGCTTGCGACAGGTTTCATATAATTTCTATTGACAACTCATTCTTATACGTGGAACAAGACATTGAAATAAAACCTTCTGCCAAGTTGTCTGACAAGAAAGGTTGCAATGGAATTTTCTATGTCGGATACCAATATGCTCCAGAAGTTTTCATGGGATATAAGATATATTCTAACTCTGACTTAGTTCAAACAGTAACCTGGGCAAACTATGAATGGTTCGCTTTGAGAAACTCAGTACAACCACAAGCTAGAGAACAAACAGACCAGTATGCAACTATTGAGAAAATAAGAAGACTTGACCCTAACGTTCCAGGAGTTTATGTTAACCTTTCTGGACAAACTGCAGCAGCAGTAACCAAAGTAAAACTGAAACTTAGAGTTCCTTTGTCATCTTTCCTCATCTTCAGGTTTTTAAGATACTTGCCAAACTGGGCAGGAAAAATTTCTATCGAACTTACTCCAAGCAAAAATAACTTTAGTCATTGCACCAACACAAGACCCATTCACTCTTACAGAAGTAGTGGGAACAAATAAAATGTCATTCGCCGACTTTTGCAAAAACAAAGTTGACTTAGACTTTGGTTTCTCAAACCTCAACACTGAAGTAAACTATTATTTCAATGCTGCTGGAGATGCTTGGGACCCAGTTAAGTTCACATGCGAAAAATTTGAATGCAAGAGAATAGAAAGCAGACTTGCAGTCTATATGTTGGACCCAGATATTTCAAATGCTTTAGCTGCCAAATATATTGCAGTTCCACTTATGGTTCCCTATACACCAAATATCTGTCAAAGACTTTTGCAGGTGAAGTTGGAAACCAAAGTGCTGACCCAGGTGCAAGAACAGATATTGCCTTAACAACTGCAATGAACATGCAGATACTATGTTTGTACTGTTCAGACGAACTATAAATGACTATTCTTGTTTCTACAACCCGGTATTAAATATCATATAAACATAGATGGCAAATACTATCCAAGAGAAGAATATTCTACAGTTGAGGATATGAGGTCATACAACTTGACATTAGATGCTATGAACTTTAACAACAACTTCACAACAACCATTAACCCTGAAATGCAAAGTTCTATTATGCCATATGTGAAAGTATGGACTCATACAGGAGGTCAAAAAACTCAATATACAAATGGAGACCGTTCAAACTTTTGGCTTGGCATTCCATTTTGCTGACTCAGAAGACTTTATGGGTGGTATTTTCAACTGTTGGTACTGTACAAATACAATATACTGGTGACAGAGACGGTCCAGATGAATTGAAAGCAAAGAAGTTTACAAAACCAATAGCACTTTTCACGGAAGATGCTCTTTTGAAGATTCGTTCGATGAAACCTGCTGGGGCTCCTCAGATTGGTATAACGACAGCTTCCATCGAGCAGATTTTGGCAGCAGGTCAGTAAGTTGTTCTTGAACTGACTTCTCTCCGTCAAATATTGACAGTACGCCAGTTTTGACATAAAATTGTATTAAAAACTTTCCTTTAGAAATATCGGTCAGTTTTGTTGTTATATTTTTGTCTGCTTCAAGAACTTTCACCATCTCGGTTATACCAACTTTCTTTGCTTTATGAAAATATTTTGGTTCAGCAAAGACTGCTATTCTATAACATTTTCCATTGTTTGTGTAAAGAACTATTCTGTCAATGTATTTGTATTGTTTGTGTGTGTAAACTTTGTTCTGCTTCAATTCGAAGAGATACTCAAATACGTCCATCTTTTATTCTAAGTAAAATGTCATTTCCGAAAAATAGAAGCGTAAGTGTTTCAAAAGGTTTAATGGCGGTGGCAATGTGAAGTTAAATTCACCAACTCAAACAAACAGTCAAAGTGTTGTTGTCAATGTCAAAGAAAGAGATGTTGAAGTGGGGAAACCATACGAAGACGAAGATGGTATAACAATAGTTCCTGTAAAAGAACAACCAACATATCCTGAAGGTTAGCAGAGACTTAAGTTCTGTTGCAGATATTCGAAACGACTACATGCAACTGAAAGATAAGCTTAAAACTCAGGAGAAGATTTGTCAAGCTTTGGTATAATGTTAAACTTGGTCGAACACAACCCTGTAAAAGTGAACTCATATGTCATCGCACCTCATGAAATTTTGAAAGAACTATTGAAACTTTTGACAGAGGCAGACGATATAAACATCAAAGAAATAGAACCCGACATTGCTTGCTGTGGTGTTTCATATAATGTCATTGACAAGATATACGTTATGAAAGGAGGTGAAACGTTGAACTTAAAATATAGTTTCCCAGACGTTATAAAAATATTTGACGACCACAACATTTCATTAAAATTTAGTTGCTAAGTAAATGGCAGAAGACATAGTGGTTTATACTATTACGACTAAAAACCCTGAGTCATATAATTCTATAACAACAAACTTACAAAGTCCTCAAGGACGATATTGTAAACTAACCTTAAACACAATGACGACTAAGCCTGTTTTGCTCTTTTGACACCAGAAGACTTTGTTGTTGTGAATGGTAAAAAATACTTCTTTGAAGATACTTACTCAGATATACCACCAACAGGTTTTGTTGACTTATTTAATACTTTAAGGACGGATGTAACATGTGCTGCAACTAGAGCAGGTTTCATTATGTTTGGATGTCCGACTGAGTTTAGTATAAACGATATGAGCTATAATACAAAACTTATATCTGGTTTTTACTACCAAACAGTTTCCTATAACAGGAAAAGGTGTCATACAAGGTCTATCTATTCCATTGACTTTAATACACCTATTTTATATATTGTTTCAAACTTAGGTTCAAAGTGCTATTCGAATGTCGACAGAAACTACTATGACCAAAAGATACTTATGCGTATAAACAACACTTTCTCTGCTGGTTTGCCTATTGTTCATTCGAATGCAGAATTTTCAACCTTAGTGAACTCAAACACTTTGGCAAGTATAACGTTGACATTAGTTGACGCAAACTTTGTTCCTGTAAAACTTTTATGTCCTATGTATTTGTCAATGACGGCAGAAAGTTTCGAATTGGAAGATGCAACTGGTGAAAGTATTGTACTACAAGAACAACTTCAACAACAAATAGCTCAAGAACAACAAATGCAACAAATGGAACAACAAAGTCAAGAATAAAAAAAATATTTTTTTTTATTTTTATAAAAATGTACAGAATAGACGTTTCAGATTTTTATGACTTCCAAGCATTCAGAAATATGTGTCCATTTCGAGACTATAACAAAGCAGTCGAGAATTTGAAACGTTTAGTCATTTATGTCGACTCTGCCCCAGAATGTTATGTTATGAAAGAATGGGATGTTGTCTTTAACAAACCAAGAGCAACAATAGTTTCAGAACAAGAATGTAGACAAAAACTTAAGAAAATAAAAGTCGTACAAGTTGGTATGAAGATGTTAGATGCTTGGGATATTTTATTGTCAAAGTTAGAAGATTTTTCAGTTCGAGTAATAAAGTTTATACACCTTCTCCAAACTTCTATTCTATCTTCACTGGATATAAATATGAACAAGTAGAATGGAAAGAAAATGTTATAAAGCTTGTTAGACCATGTCAAAGAAATTATATGCAATGGAAACGAAAGAGTCTATGAGTATATCTTATGTTGGTTTGCAAACATCTTACAACATCCAAGTGCTAAAAATGAAACTGCTCTCATTATAATTGGAAAACAAGGAACAGGTAAGAATACTTTCTTTACAGATATTTTGTGCAAACTGTTAGAGGGCTATTCGAACCCGAATATGACAAACTTAGAAAACATCTGCGGTAAATTTAACTCTTCAATAGAGAATATGAAACTTATAGTTTGCAATGAACTTCAAAGTATAGATACAACAAAATTTTAAACTCAGATGCTTTGAAGAGTCTTATAACAGACAAAGTTGGAGTTGTTGAAAGAAAGTATAAAGACCAAAGAGTTTGTGAAAATGTTTGCAAACTTCATTATGGTTTCAAACAATTCTGTTCCGATGAAGTTAGAAAGTTCTGACAGAAGATATGTAGTTGTCAGAACGTCAGATTCTCATATGCAAGATACAGAATATTTTGACGACTTAGCAGAAAACTTTGACATCTGACTTTTACAACCACTTGTTCTCATATTTTATGACATTAGATATTTCAAAGTTCAATCCAAGACAAATTCCACATACCGAAGAGAGACAAACATTGTTAGAAGCAAACAAGAGTGATATATGAACTGTTCATAGATGAAACTGACTTTGAGTGTTTAGATGAAAGGTCATTGTACGATTCGTATAAACAATATTGTCAAGAATATGGTTATATGACAGCGTCTAAACGAACATTCTTGGCAAATGTCAAAAGTCTTTTAGACGTACAGAATGGTGTATATACAAAGAAAAATTTTTATGAGTAAATTTTAAAAAAATATTTTTATCCGATAGAAAAGATGACGAAAATTCATCTCAGTAAATAAGTACATGACAGAAGTCAAAGAAGAACTAGACCCATTCGCTTATTTGAATGTTACTTCTACCATTTTGAAAAGTCTACATTTGACAAAGTTTGGAACATCGAACCAGTTAAAGTTTGCTATTGTGACTAAAAATGGTGCGAAATTTGAAGACTTAGAATAGAAGGTTTGTTAGCAGTCAAGAAAATTTTGACAGAAGGTTTCTCAAACCTTTAAAGAAGGCAAAGCATACAAACTTGTTATACCTTATGAACCAAAGAAAGCAGACGACTATGAATATTATGAGTCTAAGATAGTTGAAGTTCAAGGTAAGTTGGGTAAAAAGATTTTAGAGTCTAAGCCAGTGTTTGCTCTAAAGAGGAAGAGAACATTGACATTGACCCAGAAATGTTCTAAAAATAAAATTTTATTTTTACATGTCAAATTTCTTTTTCTTCTGGTTCAGGTTCTTTCTTCTCTTCTTCTACTTTCTTTCTTTCTCTTTCTCTCTTCTTCTTCTTTTCTGGTGGAGTTATGTCAAATTTCTCCGAACCATATTTATGTAAAAGTTCTTTGTCCTTTAATAGCTCTTCTATTCTGTTTTCTATTTCATCTTCAAGAACAGCGCATGTGCCTTCTTTGCATTCTAAGAACTTTTGTTGGACTTCATCTTTCCAATCGGCGTCATCTCTGTCAACAAGTCTGTCATTGACAAATTTTAAGACTGCTCTTTGTAATGTTTTATGGTTCTTGTCATATTCCCAGAAACAGAACTTTAGAACAAATTCCCCTTTCTTGTTTACACTATGTAAGATTTTATGGTCGACAGATGTTTTGCTGTCGAAAAGCTTGTCTCGAATATAGATAGCGAAATCGCTAGACATTTTCAAAAAGATAAAAATTTTAATTTTTCTAAAAATATGTTAGAAAAAAAGTTTGCTGACATTGACAAGAAATTTGAGAATGTTTTTGAAGAAGACAAGAGGAAGTTAGAAAATGCTCAGATAAAACCTATACATGACAAGTTCTTATTGCTCAGAATGGTATAACAGGTCTAATTGCACCACCTGGGTCGGGTAAGACTTTCACTTATCTTAAAATGGCTGCACAACAACAAGAACTAGATGAGAAGAACCCATTCTATGAGTTAGTAGTCATTTGTAGTACTTCTGGTCAATTTGACCAAACCGTAAATTCGTTCAAAGATATTATAAAAAGTCTAAGTTAGTATGTATAAAAAGACTCTGAGTTGTTAGATTGGATAAAGAAGTACCAAAGAAGAGTTTTGAAGTACAATGCTATAAATGAGTATGTCAATTCGAAGTTTAAAGACCCAAATGAGGAAATGCAGAGAATATTAGAGAAGAAACACTTCAGAAACAAACAGAAAGAGATAGAATACATTTCGAAGAAATTTGCAATCTTACGATTGGAAGACTTACCCTCACAGATGTCTTCTTATCTTAGATGATTTCGCCTCTCATCCTTTGTTAAAGAACAGAGAACAAGATATGTGTCGAATTCTTAAGAAGCTCAGACACTTCAACATCTCAGTTGTCATTGTGTACAGACAGCAAAGAGTTAAGTAAGGATGTTAAAAGAATACTTACTGATATCATACTTTTCCCTGGATTGTCCGAAGACGATTTCATGGAACTTATGAAAGAGTCCATGGCAGGTAAGTTTGACAGACATGAACTATGGGAGAGTACAAAGTCATACAAGACCCTCATATTCTTTCAGAATTCACATCTACGCAAACAAAGTTCAAATTGTAAAAAGTCAAGCTTGAAAAATAAAGAGTTTAGTCTTAGTCTGTGTGGTTCTGCAGCTTTCGGTTCTTCTGGCTTTGGAATGGACTCGGTTGGTGGTACGTCGGACATTGTCTTGAAACAATAAAAGACTTGTCTTGAAAAAGTAAAAGACTTGTCTTGAAAAAGTAAAAGACTTGTCTTGAAAAAGTAAAAGACTTGTCTTGAAAAAGTAAAAGACTTGTCTTGAAAAAGTAAAAGACTTGTCTTGAAAAAGTAAAAGACTTGTCTTGAAAAAGTGAAAGGACTTGTCTTGAAAAAGTACGGGTATCGTCTGAAATCAAGACCACTGTTCTCAAATTTGAGAACTTTACACCAAAAAATTTCTTGAAAAATAACGGGTCTTGTCTTGAAAAAGTAAAAGACTTGTCTTGAAAAAGTAAAAGACTTGTCTTGAAAAAGTAAAAGACTTGTCTTGAAAAAGTAAAAGACTTGTCTTGAAAAAGTAAAAGATTTGTCTTGAAACAATAAAAGACTTGTCTTGAAAAAGTAAAAGACTTGTCTTGAAACAATGACCGACATAGACCCAGCAGATGAGGCAATTTACATTATAGAGCTACCTGAGCCATCTTTGGTGTCAAGCTTGAAAAATAAATGGTTCATCTACTCTACTTGTTTGAAGTTGTCAAAATACTCTGTTATTTTTTCTTTCAGTAGCGGTAAGTCTTCTTTGAAGGTAAGTATTGTACAACCTTTCATATCATAGTGTGTTTGAGGTAACGTATCTTGAACTATTTGTTTCACATCTTCATTCGGTGTCATTGAAATCGGTAAGTTTTCGCGATAGAACCAATTTCTGTCAGATTTGTAAATCTTAGCAAGGTCGTAAAAGCTTTTGTTGTTTCTTCTGACTAAATGCAAATAACCATATCTCTGTCTTCTTCATTTTCCATCTCTTCAGTGTAAATCATATACTTATAGTTCTTTTCCTTTCCTTTTGGTACCGAACGTGGTATTCTTTTCTGTATGGTTTTGTCTTTTGCTTCAAGCTTGTTCTCTAGCTCTTCACGTTCTTGTCTATGAATTTCGTCTAACATCATGAAAATATAACAAGCGTAACGAGGTGAAGCCCACATTGCTACAGCATTTACTAAAAGTCTATGAACATACCAACCTCTCAAACCATTTGGCAAATTTTGACGATTTTCGTACGGAATCTCGACCCTCGGTTTTCCGAGGGTCGCAAACATATGAGGAAATTCTTCTAAAAGTTCTTTTGTCTGTTGGTTTTCAAACCAATGGTATGCTTGCTTTGTAGAACGAAGAGCATTCAAAAATACTTTGCATTTGGTACATATCGTATCGTCTTGACCGAACGAATGAGACGGAGTTGTTTTGTTAAACTGTATGTACTCGTATTCTTCATTTATAGCTTCATGGACTATAACTGTTGTTGTGTTCTCTGTTGTTGACATATCTGTCCTTACATACAAAATAAAAAATAAAAAAAAATAAAAATTAGCGTTATTTTCTATCTTGTATAAAAGACCAAAAATAAACGCTTTACATGTATTTTTCAGCAACTTCGTCAAATAATTTTATAGCTTTATCTATCTCATCTACTTCAAACGTTTCCTTACCTTTCGTGGAGCACCATACATTTTCTCAAACTTTTCAAGTAGTTCTGTTTCTGCAGCTCTCATATCATTAACAAACACAACCTTGACTCTATTGACTGTACTGTCATATCTTTGAGTTATATTATATGTTCTTCCTATCTTATATCTCTTTGTATTGAAGTCCTTCGGTTTCTGAACGATGTAAAGTAAGCCTTCACTGCAACGTTCTGAGTCGAATAAACCATATGTTATGAAATTATATCCAACAACTGGGTCTAACCATAACAAAACTATTGTATAAGACTTTTGTCTATAAGATATGCTGTAGTTCCATAGAATCTTACCGATATCATAAGCTCAGGATTTCTTGTCAAAATTTTCTGAGTAGAAGCAATTCTAACCAGTCGTGGTTTCTTTCCAGATGGAGATATAATGTCTGACAAAGAATATTTGTTGTATTTCTTTGAGTATCTTACGTTTAAATCACCTATTCTAACCAATTTGGTGTCATTGTCTATCTTTTTAACTGTTTCAAACTCAATGTTTAACATTTCTGTTCTTACATACAAAATAAAAAAAATATTTTATAAAAAACTAACTTTATTTTTATTTTGTATAAAAGATATGATTTCATAGAGTTTTTTTCACGAAGTGCAAAAGTTCACTTCGTCAAAAAAATACAGTTATATAATGAAATTTGGTCATTTTTTCACGATTTTCATGAGTTTTAGGCGACCAGGTTTTTTTCCCTACTCGCAATTTTTTACGATTTTCATGAGTTTTAGGCGAGTAAGATTTTCTATCTTGTATAACAGTTATATAATGAAAAAGTGTCATTTTTTTCAGCAAAAATATATTTTAGGGTAGAAGGGTATATCTACCCCGTTTTCTACCCTCATTTCTACCCTCTTGAATTTTCATGATTTCATCGTACATGTTTTGTCAAGACTTCTTCGTAAATGTTTTGTCAAGACTTCTTCGTAAATGTTTTGTCAAGACTTCTTCGTAATGAGCGTAAATCAGACAAAAATATATTTTAGGGTAGAAGGGTATATCTACCCCGTTTTCTACCCTCTTTTCTACCCCAGTTATTTTATAAGCGTTTTACATGGTAAACATTGTGAATTCGTGAAATTCTAAACAATTTCGTAGCTTCTATTTCTTCTGTCAGTACATCGAATGTTTTAACAATGCCGAAAGTTTCTTTATACTTCTTCTTGACGTCAGATAGAAGGAAATCTTCTGCTGTTGGATAGTTTTTGTTCAGAAATGTCAACATGTCCATTTTATCTTCTGCTGGTTTCTCTACTTCTTTCTTTAAGTCAGCATAGTCGTTTCTCATACGTTCTATCTCTTTGACGGAGTAGTTATATTTCCTCATTGCTGCTTTACATTTAGAACATTGCGGGTTCATTTTTGCGTTATATTCTGAAACCTTACCTGCTAGTATGACTAAGGCGTCAATTGCTCTCTTTAACTCAAAAGTTGCGGGTTTTATCTGTTCATTCCATATCTTACCTCTTCTATCTTTATCTCTTATCTGCCATACACATTTTGCAACTAACGAAACAAAGTTATCGTAGGTCTTAAATTCTTCAGATTTGTATATGTCAGAGATGTTCTTATATACCATATCGCAATCTTTGTCCATGACTTTGTGGTTGCAATGAAATCCAAGAAACTCATAGTTTACCTTTCGTATGAACTTCTTTATTTCTACTGAGTCAGTTGCTTTGACTTCTATTTCATCGAATTCTGAATAGTGAGTTTTTGTTGTTGGATTTCAGGAAGTTTAGGTAGATGGTCAATAATATCCTGCATTTCATAAAGATACTGTTCATTTGTTTCATCTTTCGCACTACAGTTTAGATCTCCTTGGAGAAGTTCTTGCTTTATCTTCTGGATTTCTGTTTCGAAAGTATATGAAGAAGGAATGAAGCTTTTCATCTCTACTAACATTGAAGTTGGGTTCATGACTAACGAGTTTGGTGCTGTTGTTGCTAACATGTTCTTACAATAAAAATAAAAAAATATTTTTTTAAAAAAACCAACTTTATTTCTATCTTAAGGAAATTCATGAAAATTCAAGAGTTTTGTGTGTTTTCTACGAGGGTAGAAAAGAGGGTAGAAAACGGGGTAGATATACCCTTCTACCCTAAAATATATTTTTATTGAATTCAGCAACAAAATTCAAGAGTTTTGTGTGTTTTCTACGAGGGTAGAAAAGAGGGTAGAAAACGGGGTAGATATACCCTTCTACCCTAAAATATATTTTGTGCTGAATTCAATAAAAATAAATGGTTCATTTACTCACAATATTTTTGTACAAAACAACCCCAAGCTTTTAACCTCTCTTCTGCAGCTTCTAATGCTATCTTAGCGAGTTCATATTCTCTAAATTCTCTCTTTAAATCTTCTTGTTCCCATTGGTCTAGTTCGTATGGCGAGTCTCTATAACCAGAACATATCTCACGTTCATGTTCTATTTGTTTTTCATGCATTTTTCTAACTTCTTCTTCAAACAAAGGTTTTGCATTCTCTACTGTATCTTCAAGTTCTTCTTCATCTAACTTCTCATGAACTTTCTTGTCTATGGAGTCCATAATTTTTCCAACTGCTATGCAATATTTTGGAGAAGCCCACATTGCTATATAGTTTAGAAGTCTTGGGTCTACATACGTTCCTCTAACCTGTTTGATTTCATCAGGAATTCCTGCATGAACTTTGTATAAAAAGCAACCGCCGTTTTCCCGGGTTGGTATATTCTTCACAAAATGCCTCAAAATACTCTTCCCAGGACTTATTTTCCAACAACCTTCTAAAGTCTTTCCTAAACTGCTGACACATCTTTGTTGCATTTATATAACCATCCTTGTCTCTACGTAAGACTTCAATACCGTTGTAAGTGCCTTTTGTGAATGTTTCGCCATTAGATTTGTTCGTGAACGTTTTTGCTTCGACTGACATTTCTGTTCTTACAATAAAAATAAAAAATATTTTTTGGTGGGACGTCGGACATTCGTTTGTGGCTTAACCGTCGGACCACAACGATAAAAATCTCTGCTCCTAGCAGTACTGCTACTGACAGTAGCAGTACTTTTTCTGACAGTAGCAGTACTTTTACTGACAGTAGCAGTACTTTTTCTGACAGTAGCAGTACTTTTTCTGACAGTAGCAGTACTTTTTCTGACAGTAGCAGTACTTTATCGTCGAAAACCCTCTCAAATTTTCCTTTTTACTGCTCGTAGCAGTACTTTTACTGCTCGTAGCAGTACTTTTACTGACAGTAGCAGTACTTTTACTGACAGTAGCAGTACTTTTTCTGACAGTAGCAGTACTTTTTCTGACAGTAGCAGTACTTTTACTGACAGTAGCAATGGTCGAGGTCGAACCTACCGACGAGGCAATTTACCTAATTGAAATTAACGAGCTTGTTAAAAGACTTCCTCAGGCAGAATGTAAAAGGCAAGCTTGTTAACTGTTGGATAACGGGAAGGGCTGCCTTGAATCTCGAGACTTCGACTGGAATTCCAATTCAAATACCAGACGGGACAGCCTACGACGACATAAAGCAAGCAAAGAAGGAAGCTCTTCTCAAGTTCTTTGCCAAGCGTCCTTGGATACGACTTCCAAACAGAGAGAACCCTTTCCCAAGAATGAGCCAAATTCTCAAGGGTCTCCTTCACTTCTCGGGTCAGCCGTTCTACATAACCTGTGAAGGCGACATCCAACCAGTTCAGTAAACATCTCATTTTAACTTACTTTTTTTATGTTTTTTGTGAAAGTGTCAAAAATAAATTGTTTTATTTCATGCAATGTTTTATTTCTGTGCCGTCTTCAAGTATGCCCCAGTACTTACGCTTGGAGAGAACATGAACTTCGGAAAATACCTTGTCTAGCTTAAAACAGCCCATCTTTTCACCGACCATGCCCATTTCAATGAGTTTGTTATAGCCTTCTTCGTTCGTCATGAGTGCGTCAATGTTCTCATAGTAAACCACAACTTTGGATTTGACTTCGGAGAAGAATTTGTTGTAGTTGTCAAGGACTGCCTTTGCGAACTGAGGGTAAGACCAATGTTCGACAATAGGTTTTAATGTGGTTACTAAGCCACTTTGACCTTGAGTGAATTCGTACTTCAAAACAAAAGGAGAAAACCTTTCAACAAAGTTGTCGACCTTCTCATAATGTTTACTCTTCATCTCTTGAGGTTTTTTAATGGAATACCCCCATGTCGAATTCATAAGCAATTTGAGTGTCATTGCAAGTTTGGGGTTTGAAGCTTTCCTAATATCATACAGTTGTTGTATGACTTTTCCAACTGTATAGTTCCTTCCCGAGAACTCACCATCTTCGTTTGGAATTCCAGTCGGAATATATTGGACAAACCTCATGTATGCAGCGTTAAGGTCGACATAGTATATCTTTTCATCTGAGTCGAACTTATCGCATCCAATCGGACCAGTTTTTGGAAATTCAAGCGAGTCTCTTATCTTCTGAGAAACTTCTCCTGTTATCTCATAAACATCGTCAAAGCAACCTGTTTCATATAAAATCTTCTGACCTAACTCTGATGCTCTCCAATACAATTTGACGTCGATTGGATGTCTCAATGGAAGTTTGTTTATAGCATCTTGAAGTTCTTGCAACCTCATTGGAAGTTCTTCTGGTTCAGGTTGGTATCCGAACAATCCAACTCCTTTTGGAATTGTGTACTTCTTTTGTACTAGAACTTTGTCTGGAACAACTTTTGGTCTTGCTAACAGTGAAAAGTTTGTTTCGTCTTTTGGTACAAAAGTTTCTGTCAGCTTGTCATCTGGAATTGGTTCCAACAAACCTTTCTCGAAAAGAATGTTTACAGCTCTGACAATGTTGCACTTGCCTTTTCCGAACAATGGGTTTGTAAGACTTTCGTTCAACATGAAGTGGTTGTGGACAATTGCAATCTTCAACCATGGTAAGTCTTTGTCAACAACATAGTCGTCATGTGAAGAAAACCTTTAGCTGTAGGTATGTTGACTCGGATATTGACATTTGCCAACGGTGCAATTTTTGCCAATTGACCTCTGAGAATGTACCTTGTCTTCACACATGACTCAAGATACTTCATCTTCTCATCTGTAACAAGACCAGAGTTCCTGAGACATGTAAGAATACAAGGTTCATTGACAATTGTTTCAATTGAATTGTAAATTCCATACCTTGTCAAGTCAATGTCAGACTTATTTATGAAGGGGAAGTATCCAGCATGTTGTCTGACTGCTTGAGGGTTAGGTTGGTACCATTCGAACTTCACGCTTACAATTCCTTCAATTGCATTCAAAATATCTGAGTCGGAGTCAACCATTTGTTCTCTCTTTGTAGTCTTGAAAGCGTCAAGAAGCATTGCAGCTGTTGTGACATTGCCATGTGCATAGTAAATATGACCGTCCAAATCTGTTACGGTTAGTCTGAGATTGTATCCTTTCTTATTTCCGTCTTGAATGGCAGCAAGTACTCCCATGAAGCCTTCTTTGTTCTTTCCTTCGTCAAAGTTTACTGTAAAGGTTCGACCAGATGTAATTTGACTTCTAACTTCACGATACTTTTCATATGCATATCTTGTTCTTTCCATGGGAGCATGTTTGTCTTCACCTTTTCCTTTTTTCCTTCTCAAAGGATGCAACTGTTCGTTATGTTTCCAGTAGAACCTGGCAAAGCCGTCGTGTCCTTCAACCTGCGGCTCACTAACATCGAAAGGCAAGTTCATAAGACGTTCTTCTTCTAATCTCTCTAATCTGTTTGGATAGTTGGTTCGCGCTGTTTTTAAGTCCATCTCATAGGTCAGACCAGCCAGTTTGTCATAGACTTTTATGGGTCTTCCCTTCCTATATTTAAAATTCTTTGAAACTCTCCAACCATATCTTTCTAACTCTGCTTTTATTCTAGCAGACCTTCTGTCCATTCTATATGGGGGCATTTTTATAAAAATAAAAAAATATTTTTTTTCTTTACTTTACGTAACCACCTGCTACCAAAAGCCTTTGACGCCAACCCATACCAGCTAATGAAGGTTGACTTGGTTTAGTTTGGAAACTAAACTTTGGTTTTGGTTTATCTTCAGTTTTTGGTTTCTCTTCTTCTATCGGTTTTTCGTCACTTTTTGGTTCCTCTGACTTTACCTCACCTGCAGGTATGGTTGTGTCGTCAACATCTTCGTAAATATCATATGCCATTTGTTTTTGTTTTCCTTTCAACTTTTTGTGTTTGTTGTAAAGTTTAGAATATTTCGACTCTAAGTCAATGAGATGTTCTATAATGAACTGTTGGTCAGTGAAGAATACCTTCCCATCTGTTGTCTCATAAACTCCTTCAGACTTCAATATTTTATTTGTGAGAGTCTGTTTCTTTTTTGAGATACTAGCCGTTCCATTTCTATGAAAAGTGACTTTGTAGTTAGGGTTTGCATTTCCAGACCTGGCACTTTCTATTATTGAATTTTTTTCTTCATCTGTAAGTTCTTTGACAGGTTTTGACAATGGTTCTGAACTTTTTGTTTGTGGTGTCAAATCTACCGTTTCAACTTCTTCCGTCATTTCATCTCAGTAAAAAATTTTAGTTTGGTTTGTTTTCAACTGGTTGTTGTTGTTTTTTAAGTCGGTCTAAAACTTCTTGAGGTATAGGAAGAACTTGACAAACACGTGGTTGTGTAACTGCTGGAAGCCGACAAATCCATCTTGAGCCCATTTGTCTCAATGCTGTATTGTTCATTTCATCTCAGTAAAAAAATTTACATTCCCCACGTTTGAGGCGGTTGCGGTTGGTTGTTGTTTACCCACTGTTGTGCATGGTTATATCCTCTGTTAAAGAATCTTTCACCTTGGTCCATATAGTGTCCTGCTTGGTTATAGTAGTCATTTGCTTTGTTATAATAGTTTCCTGCTTGTCTTCCTACATTGTCCATCCATCCTTGAACTTTTCCTCTTGTTTCAGGATTTGGAATAAGATTTGCTGCATCTCGTGCTACCTCCCAACCTTTCTGTACAGTTTGTATAATAGGTTGTGCTTTCTCTTTCAGTATACCTAATGTACTCAAAATCTTCCTTCCAATTCCAAATGCACCTCTGGCTATTGTTCCCACTGCGGGTAAAAATCTAGATGCAACTCCTGCTAACGCGCCAAATAAACCCATTTCTTATGGGTTAAAAAATGACGAATCCAAACAAGGACCCCTATGTTTCTAAAGCGACAAAGAAAGCACTCATGGTAAAAATCTTTAGTTCAACACCAAATGCTTGGTTTATGGATATCTTGGAAAACATTCCGAGAGTTAGACAGATGGACCACCATACTGGCTAATATTTGTCGGTCAAAACACAAGATACTGTGAAGCCATACCATTACAGTCCAAAAATATTTTAGATGTGAAAACTGCTTTGACAATATTCGTTGACAAATACCATCCAACAAAACTGACATCTGACTGTGAAAGTTCTTTCAAATCAGACGATATTAAAAACTATCTGCGTTTCAAAAAATGTAAACCAATATTTCATTGTCGACCAAAACCATTCTGCTCTTGGTGTCATTGACAGTTGTATAAAAATCTTAAGAGACTTAAATCAACCACAAGGTGGTGAAGCAAATGAAATGTCATATGACGACAAGTACAGACACTTCTCCATGGCAAAGATGAGACAAGTTTTAAATATTTACAATAGCCGTAAACAAAAAGGTTTGGGAAACCACTCCCCCGAAGAAATGAAAAACAACCCTGACTTAGAGAAAGACTATATATTTAACAATTTAGTCAAAAGAGACAAACAAGAAAGAATGCCAGGCTTCAAACTTAAGAAAGGTGACAAAGTAAAAATAGAAATACCTAAACGCGACCCATATGAAAATACTATTGACTATGACAACAATGGGAACTCGACAGGTACTCGCATTCGTGTTCGTAAAAATAGAAGAAAGTATACAAGAGAATATTATGAAGTTTTAGGCAAACATGGCAAAATGTACACACTGCAAGCAGAAGATAAAACTACTATTGTCAGACCTCGTTTCAAACTTGTCAAAGTTCAAGGTGGTATACTTTCAAAGACAGTTCCTAACAAATATAAGACAACTCCAGACGAATATGCTAAAGAAGTTGAAAATGACGACTAAGCAATTCTATACCATGCGTAAACTGTCATAAATGGCGGCATGTAATCTTTACTTTGTCCCGTTGTTTGTGTATATCCGAAACGCGATGTGTATGGTTTCCATCTCCCTGAGTGTCACTCCAGTAACAATTTATAGCAAACTTAACCTCGTCTTTAACATCATATCCTTTACCTTTTGTCATTCCTGACCAATCCCAATATCTATGCTTATGCCAACCTGCTTGAGATGTACTTAAATCTATGTAGTGACTGTGTGCAGGTAAATTTTCACCTGAAATCGTTTTACTTCCACCTGTTTCCTTTGAAGAGTTTGCACAATACAAAAACCTGTCGACTATTTGAGTCCAAGTTCCGAGACCAAGTACTACTTCTGGTCTGGTAGAGTTCATTGACGTATAAATAGAACCTATAGGATATACTGTTTGAAGTATTTCTGTCTTTAATGTTTGAAGCTCTGTTTTGTCTGCTTTTTTATATAACTTTTCTTCAAGTTCATTTACGTCAGAGATGCTATGTCTATGATATTTTTGTGGGTATGTTCCTTCTGTCCATGCTAAAATACGTTCTTTTGTTGCATCTACATATCCAGCTATCCATGTCGAGTCTGCTTTTGTATTCCTTAACTCTGTAACACCTTTCTCAAGCTCTTTCAACTGTTGTCCATCTTCCATTAAACCTCTGGTATGACTTGAAACCGTTTGTGTCAACATATCTACAGTTTCTTTGTCGGCTTTAAGGTCTAAACATCCTGAAACCCACCCTGTATTGGCTTTACCTTCTAAAATCTTCGATGTCCGTTCATGGTACCATTCAACCCTTTTTATAATTTCATTGTCTTTTTCATCCACATATTCCTTATCTGCCTTCTTCACTAACCCACTAGCCAGATATGCTAACTCATCGTCAACATACTCTTTGTCAGCTTTCTTTTCAACATCCTCTTTTGTTGCATATGTTGCATCTGCTCTGTCATGTTCTTCTTGAACTTTTTCAATGACATACTCTTTGTCAGCTTTGTTGTCAATATCTGCTTTCAAAAGAAGTTCATCTATAGGTTTCTCGTTTAAAGTTCTTTTTGTTGGATTTATACAAACAGTATGGTTCTTGTTGTCTTGAAACAGAAACTCGTCTGTCATTGGGTTTATCGTCAGTTTTAAGTTTCCTTCTTTCAATGACTCAGATATCTTAGAATAGTTTGAAAAGTTTGTTGTGTTCTTATTTAGAGCTTGCATAATGAGTTGTCGGTTGTGTTGTATTTCTCTCATAGACGCTGTTTCATTTGACATTTTTATTCTAGATAAAATATGCTTCCAATAGAAAAAGAAAATTCAAGAGTTGCTACAACTAAACCATTAGATGAACTTTTTACGAATGTCGGTCAAAAGTTTGAGACAGAGACCGTAAAGCATGAAGGCTATCGTTTTGACTACCCATTAAGATGGCTAAGAGACCCATCTGTCACAAAAGCTATTGGCTTTCGTAGAATGAAGTTTGTGTCTGTAGAAGATAAAAGTTTTCCATTTATTGTAAGGTTTCATATAGATTATATATCTGAAGGGAAACGAAAAATGTGGGAAGAAATTGAGCTAATACAAGTTGACCTTTCATCTTCTCTACAGACTGCGTTAAAAAATATAGAAGATAAAATAAATTCATGTTATGCAAAATATGCTGATGAATATGCAAATACCGAGAGCACACTTTATGTGAGAATTTGTATATGACAAACAAAATTCACAAGTGTCATTTCAAATCTACGAAGACAATCCAAAAGAAAGACGAACAAATATATACAGAATTCACTGCAATGTCATGGTATTATTTGCAAAGAATGTTAAATCAGAAAGTCGAACTTCCTTTAGCAAATATTTACAGTCGATATGCAAGAGATGAACCATATTTATTTAAAGATGTTTTCGACCCAGCTGCTATTATTGTTCATGCTTCATTTTCTGGCGCCCAAAACTCTTTCTTATGCTTGGCAAATGACTTTTACGAAAAACCTACAAAGTTATACGAACCACCAAGTGGAAGTATTTCAGACTTTCAAGTATGGTTTACTACAGATGGAAGAAAAAGAATAATTCCATTATACCATGCGTTTTACTTAGAACTTAGTTTCATATACAACTACTATCGAACGGTAAAAATATAATTTTTTAATACGGTTGAGGTGTTGGATTTGGTTGCCAACTAGACTGTGGTGCAGGTTCAGGCTGTTGTATAACAGGAGCTTGTTCTTCTGGTTCAGGGTCTTTAGGTATAATACCAACAAACTGACCTACTCTTTTACCAATATTTTTGACACCGTTCCAAATTCCTCTTCCGACAGATTTTATTCCATTCCATATACCTCTTCCAACTCTTCTGAAGAAGTTTCCTATCTTACTGAAGAAACCCATTTTACTATATGTAAAAATCTAATGTCCGCCTAGTCTCTTACGTTTCCTGTTGAGTTCCATAGCATTCTTTAACTGGAGCTCATACATTCTGTTTCTCCTCTGGTAGAAAACATATTCTGGGTCAACTCCTGTTTCGCGTCATCTGCATAAAGTTGTTTATATCCCACTTCAGGGTTTGTATAAAACTCTTTCCATCTCATATTTGCATACCATGGTGGCAAACCTAACGCAGCGTCATTTGACATGGCAGTTTGCATTTGTACATCTGTTGGCACTTGACCATAGTTTGCCATTGCAGTTTGTATTCTAACTTCATTTGGAATATTCTCTGGGTTTGGTTGTCCAGGTTGCTGTGCATTCGCTAAGTTCTGTGCGTCCATTTAATATTAGATAAAAATATCTCTTACGAGTACATATACTGAACATTTGCAGGCATTGGTTCATCTTCATATTCTCTGTACTTTTCTGCCACGTCAAATAAATAAATGACACAATGGAAAAAACCTAAAACAAGTAGTCCGATTTCAAACCACATTTACTTACTAATAAAATTCTTTGTTATGACACTTTCTCCAGTTTATAGGACCTCTCTCATATTCTATCTTGTCATATATAAACTCATAGTCATGTATGTCCTCTAACCATCTCATAACAGTTTCCAAACCACTTTTATCGGATGTAAAGTAAAAGCATGGATGGTTATGTATAACGTCTAAAGTTTCTAAAGAGTCTCTCAAAGTCCAGTCTACTTGGTATTGAAAATCCCATGTGTTATAGAACGGCGGGTCCACTATAAAGAAAACATTTTCCTTGTCTTTATATTTTTCATACAAATCTGTCCAATGACATCTCACAAACTCTATACCCTCAATATATTTTTCTATGTCCTCTTTGAAAACATTTGTATAGTTAAGATATAAAACTTTTGACATAAGTGTTTCAATGTCATGAACTCTTATAGAACCACTATATAATAGTCTAGCAGATATACTATCCCAGTCTATATACTCTGCTTTTTCCAAAACCTCTCTGACAATATTTTTCTTATCTAATGGTATACGTTCCATCTTACCTATAGGTATCTTTTCTTTCAACTCACTCAATATTTTATTTGTGTCTGGAATATGTTTGAGACGGTTCATATAGTTGTCGAAGTCATTGCATATAATCTTTGAGTCAGGAAATATTGTATGGCACAGATGGGATATATAGAAACTTCCACCGAACAAGTCTACAAATGTTAGACCATTCGGTAGTTTCTTAAGTTCTCTCAATAGAATATCTTTACATCTACTCTTATTTCCAAAGAAGGGTAACGGTGGTTTTGTAAAATTCATTTTATATATATAATAAAAATGTTTTTTCCTGAAAAGTGACAGATGTTTTATTGTGACTTCTTCGTAAAGACTTTGTTGAGATTTCTTCGTAAATGAGTGTAAATGACCCAAAAATATATTTTAGGGTAGAAGGGTATATCTAGCCTCTTTTCTAACCTCATTTCTACCCTCTTGAATTTTCATGAATTTCTTCGTAAAGACTTTGTTGAGACTTCTTCGTAAAGACTTTGTTAAGACTTCTTCGTAAAGACTTTGTTGAGACTTCTTCGTAAATGAGTGTAAATGACCCAAAAATATATTTTAGGGTAGAAGGGTATATCTAACCTCTTTTCTAACCTCTTTTCTACCCTCTTGAATTTTCATGAATTTCTTCGTAAAGACTTTGTTAAGACTTCTTCGTAAAGACTTTGTTAAGACTTCTTCGTAAAGACTTTGTCAAGACTTCATCGTAAAGACTTTGTTGAGATTTCTTCGTAAATGACCCTAGTAGTATATTTTTGGTGTAAATTTCATGAAAATTCAAGAGGGTAGAAAAGAGGTTAGAAAAGAGGTTAGATATACCCTTCTACCCTAAAATATATTTTTGGTGTAAATTTCATGAAAATTCAAGAGGGTAGAAAAGAGGTTAGAAAAGAGGTTAGATATACCCTTCTACCCTAAAATATATTTTTGGTGTAAATTTCATGAAAATTCAAGAGGGTAGAAAAGAGGTTAGAAAAGAGGTTAGATATACCCTTCTACCCTAAAATATATTTTTGGTGTAAATTTCATGAAAATTCAAGAGGGTAGAAAAGAGGTTAGAAAAGAGGTTAGATATACCCTTCTACCCTAAAATATATTTTTGGTGTAAATTTCATGAAAATTCAAGAGGTTAGAAAAGAGGTTAGATATACCCTTCTACCCTAAAATATATTTTTGGTGTAAATTTCATGAAAATTCAAGAGGGTAGAAAAGAGGTTAGAAAAGAGGTTAGATATACCCTTCTACCCTAAAATATATTTTTGTCTGATTTTACGAAGAAGTCTTGACAAAACATTTACGAAGAAGTCTTGACAAAACATTTACGAAGAAGTCTTGACAAAACATGAAAACATATATAATTTGTGAAAAGCTCCTGGAAGACCTCCGAATAAAAACTTCATTTATGTGGGCTAGAGGGCGCAACGCGCCTGGAAGCCCTCCGAATAAAAACTTCATTTATACTAAACATCTTCAGGGCTAGAAGGCACGAAGTGCCTGGAAGCCCCACTACCTTTTTTTTT